AGGATTCTCCAGTGACACTGCTAATAGACGGCATCCAGTTCTGGAAGCCACAGGCAAACTACTACTCCCTAAAATCTGGAGTGGAGGAGGCAGCCAGCCAGCCACCTCTATGGACAATGAGAACTTGAGGGGACACAGACCTGTCCTGGGCAGGAATGGAAAGAGCCCCTGCACCTGGGCAGTTTCTCCCCTCCCTCCCCCAACCTTAGGAGTGAGAGAAGAGCCTGGTAGAGTAACCCCACCCATGACCGATGGGGGTGTGCAATAGTCAGGAAGATGAGAGCTGGAAAGGAGAGAGATTCAAGGTGGTGTGCCCACCTCGAATTTCCCTGCAGTCTTGTCTGCAAACGCAGGTACGGGTGAGACATTTTGTGAGCAGTTTGAGGCTGAGAGCTCAGGGTCACCGCTGCTTGACTGTACCACGGCCAACACTGGGCCAACATATTCTATCAGCATGACAACTGCAGCTGGATGCTGAGTACAATGAACAAGTAAGAAACTGGTTTTAGTGGCTGAGATTGCCCTGTTCCTGAAATCCAAACTGATTTTCAAAGATGATCCAAGAAAGGTACAAACATTTAAGATGTACAGAAAACCAACAAGTTTTGCTTTTAGGGGATGTCATTTTACAAAACAAACAGAGGAAGGGAATACATTCACAAAGTCTTGTTTTGACTCATCTTGAACCCCTGGTCATGGGGGTGCAAGCCTTGGAGACCAGTGATGCTACCTGGCTGGGTGCAGTAAGGCCAACTGCTGGGTGCAGTAAGGCCAACTGACACAGCTGTGGTCTTCAACTTGGGGCCCCCGCCTGGGACCCCCTGGACACATGAGTCTTTCCAAAGGCATGAGGGGGGTTAGGACATAAATTTCCAGATTGCCAAATTCTGTAAATACTCTTTTAAATTGATCACCTTTCAAAATCACCTTTCTCCCATTTTATGAAGAAAGGAATGCATCCCTCTCTCCCTTTTGTTTTTGTTTGTTTGTTTTTCAAGCGTGCTGTTATCTGAGTTTTGTAGCTGTAAAGTCATCTGTTACTGTGCCTCCTGACTGTTCCTATCAGGGTAGATGGCTTGTGTTTTTGATTCTAGCTCATCTTGGCAACGGTTGTCTTCCAAGGGAGCTCCATATGTGAGCTCCGGAGTCTGGAAGTGTCCCTCTGGGGTGACTCAACTTTTGCCTTTCCTCAACCCTTTAGAATTCACAGATTCCAAACCATGTTGTTTTTTTTTTAAGCCCATTTCTTTTTTTATTGATGTCTTAATAGTTTATAACCTCGTGAAATTTTAGTTGTACATCATTGTTTGTCAGTCACCATATAAATGCCTCACTTCTCCCGTTGTGCCCACCCGCCAACCACCTTGCCCCTGGTAACCACCAAACAGTTCTCTCTGTCTGTGTGTTAGTTTATCTTCCACATATGAGTGAAATCATGTGGTGTTTGTCTTTCTCTGTCTGGCTTATTTCGCTTAACATAATACCCTCCAGGTCCATCCATGTTGTTGCAAATGGGACGATTTTGTCTTTTTTTAGGGCTGAGTAGTATTCCATTGTGTATATATACCACATCTTCTTTATCCGTTCATCAGATGAGGGACACTTGGGTTACTTCCACTTCTTGGCTATAGTACACAATGCTGCAATGAACATAGGGGTGCATAAGCCTCTTTGGATTGTTGATTTCAAGTTCATTGGATAGATACCCAGTAGTGGGATAGCTGGATCATAAGGTATTTCCATTTAATTTTTTGAGGAATCTCCATACTGATTTCCATAGAGGCTACACCAGTTTGCATTCCCACTAGCAGTGAATTAGGGTTCCCGTTTCTCCACAACCTCTCCAACGTTTGTTGTTTTTTGACTTCAGGATTATAGCCATTCTAACGGGTGTAAGGTGATATCCTAGTGTAGTTTTGATTTGCAGTTCCCTGATGATTAGTGATGTTGAACATCTTTTCCTATGCCTGTTGACCATCTGTATATCTTTCTTGGGAAATTATCTGTCCATATCCTCTGCCCATTTTTTGATCGAGTTGTTTGTTTTTTTGTTGTTCAGTTGTGTGAGTTCTTTATATATTATAGAGATTAATCCCTTGTTGGATATGTGATTTGCAAATATTTTCTCCCAGCTGGTGCGCTGTCTATTCATTTTGATCCTGGTTTCATTTGCCCTGTAGAAGCTCTTTAATCTGATGAAGTCCCACTTGTTTTTTTTTCTTTTGTTTCCCTTGTTTGAGTAGACATTGCATCTGAAAACATCCTTTTATGACTGATGTCAAATAGTGTACTGCCTATATTTTCTTCCTGGAGTTTTATAGTTTCAGGTATCACCTTCAGGTCTTTGATCCATTTTGAGTTAATTTTTGTGTATGGCAAAAGAAGATGCTCTACTTTCATTCTTTTGCATGTGGCTGTCCAGTTTTCCCAGCGCCATTTATTGAAGAGATTTCCTTTCTCCATTGTATGTTCTTAGCTCCTTTGTGGAAGATGAGCTGTCCGTATATGTGTGGTTTTATTTCTGGGCTTTCAATTCTGTTCCATTGATCTGTGTGTCTGTTTTTGTACCAGTACCATGCTGTTTTGATTATTATCACTTTGTAGTATATTTTGAAGTCAGGGATTGTGATGCCTCCAGCTTTGTTCCTTTTTTCAGGATTGCTTTAGCTATTCAGGGTCTTTTGTTGCACCATATGAATTTTAGTGTTCTTTGTTCTATTTCCATGAAGAATGTCATTGGGATTCTGATTGGGATTGCATTGAATCTGTAGATTGCTTTAGGTAATATGGACATTTTAACTATGTTTATTCTTCCAATCCACGTGCATGGGATATTTTTCCATTTCTTTATGTCATCATCGATTTTTTTCAATAATGTCTTATAGTTTTCATTGTATAGGTCTTTCACCTCCTTGGTTAAATTTATTCCTAGATATTTTATTCTTTTTGTTGTGATTGTAAATGGGATTATCTTTCTGAGTTCTCTTTCTGTCAGTTCATTATTAGCATATAGAAATGCAACTGATTTTTGTAAGTTGATTTTGTACCCTGCAACTTTGCTGTAGTTGTTGATTATTTCTAATAGTTTTCCAGTGGATTCTTTAGGGTTTTCTATATATAAAATCATGTCATCTGCAATATATCATTTCAGTCTCTCCTAGCCTGTAATGTTTCTGTCAAGAAATCTGCTGATAGCCTGATGGGAATTCCCTTGTACGCTATTTATTTATTTATTTATTTGCCTAGCTGCCCTTAATATTGTTTCTTTGTCATTGATTTTTGCCACCTTTGCTACTATATGCCTTGGAGCAGGTCTTTCCATGTTGATATATTTAGGCAATCTATTGGCTTCATTCACTGGCATTTCCAGCTCCTTCCCCAGATTTTGGAAGTTCTCAGCTATTATTTCCTTGAACAAGCTCTCCGTTCCTTTTCCCCTCTCTGTTCCCTCAGGAATACCTATAATCCTTATGTTGCATTTCCTAATTGAGGTATTTCTCAGAGTCAGGTATTTCTCACAGAATTTCTTCATTTCATTTTAGTCTTTGTTCTCTGTCCTCTATCTGGGGCATTGCTGCGTTCCTATCCTCAATAATGCTAATTCATTCCTCCATGTTGTCAGCTCTGTTTTTTAAAGATTCCAGGTTTTCCTTTATCTCCTCCATTGTGTTTTTCATCTCCAACGTTTCTGATTGGTTTTCCTTTATGGTTTTGATCTCCTTTGTGATGAAATTCCTGATTTCGTTGAATTGACTATCTGTATGTTCTTGTAATTTGTTGAGCTTTTTTTTTTTTTAATTTTATTTATTTATTTATTTTTCCCCCCAAAGCCCCAGTAGATAGTTGTATGTCATAGCTGCACATCCTTCTAGTTGCTGTATGTGGGACGTGGCCTCAGCATGGCCGGAGAAGCGGTGCATCAGTGCACGCCTGGGATCGGAACCCGGGCTGCCAGCAGCCGAGGGCGCGCACTTAACTGCTAAGCCACGGGGCCAGCCCTGAGCTTTTTTATGATAGCTATTTTGAATTCTCTGTCAGTTAGGTTATAAATTTCTGTGCCTTCAGGGTTGATTTCTGGGTGCTTGTCATTTTCCTTCTGGCTGGGAGATTTAATATATTTTTGCGTCTTGCCTGCCCATGTTGGCTTGTTTTTCATCATCCTAAAAATATCTGGTTGCAGTTTCCACCTGCCGCCAGTGGGTGGGGGTCAAGAGCTGTGTATTCTGAGCCCACTGCAATCCGAGGCCGCTCTGCCCAACTGGTTGTGCTGAAGTGCCAGGTGTGTGGAGGGGAGGGGCTCTCTCTTTTGCCTGCCTGATCCTAGGGGCTTCTCCTTCTTCCCTCGCTATCTGCTCTCCTGGGCTGCTCAGGTGTCGATGGCACCCCTGCAACAGTTCCGACTTCTCCATGTGGGAATTTCCCTCAGGCTGAGAGAGAACTTGAAGAGTGATGGTTTTCCCACAGAGGGCCGCCCCTCCCCCCTCTCTGGGAGCCGCGTGGGGCCGGAGTCGCCGATCAGATGGGACCGGGAGGATTTCTCCTTATGTCTCCCCACTTCCTCTGGGGCTTGCAGCACCTCCACCTTCAGATGTATGGCTGTGTGTGTCTCTCAGACGTTTTTGTGTTGTGTGAGTGTCCTTTGTTGGCATGGGAATGTCGTTTTTGTTGTATCTTATCGGGAGAATCTACAAGGAAAGCTCACTCCTCCATGATGCTGATGTCACTCCTTGGTTGGTTGTTTTTAGCCAAGTTGCCCATTCAACTGCACCAATATTGACAAAGATCGGATAACTCATGGGGGAGGGTCCTGGGAAAGAAGCACAGAGAGCATCAGGAAAAAAATGTTGATTCAAGCAGTAAATCTACAGCAAGGCTCCGTGCCCCATCCATCTGTCTTAGAGTTAAAATATTCAAGATTTACAAAAAGGATTCCAGGAACTACATTTTTGCTTCAGAGCCCATCCCCTCTGCTTTTGCACCATTTTCAGCAGTGGGAACGTATCTGGATGAATACTCTCATTTATTTAGCCGGGTTTTGGTCTAATTTCTGTGTTTTGCATGATTTCAAGGAGGTGGAGAACAGCTCTGCATTTCTGTGCAACTAGTCAGCGTTCCCTTGTCAAGTAAAAGGAAGATATATTGGAGGTAAGTAGGTGCTTTATATTTTTTATAACACTTATTTCAAGTCATAGGAGAAATATTTTCATTTACTTTGATCCAAGATTATTAGATGTATAAAATTTACTATTTAGAGACTTGTAGTCCCAGACAGATTTTTAAGTTAATTTAAAATACATGCATACGTAGTTTTTGGATACAGACAAGTATGATAAAGTGGTCAATTAAATGCTTTCAAAAATAAAATGAATGACATTAAGATATACTTATGTGGGGGAAATGGAATGAAAATATGAAGTTGAGGATCAAAAGGAGTACAAGACTGGGAGTTCATATGTTTTTTTCAACTATTGGTTTGGGTTTCAAATTCCCATAATATTTAGATTCCCTCAGCTACATTGGAAAGAGTTCTATAACAATTTTATTTTTAAATGTAAATTTAATAAATGCATCAGAATTGCATCCTTTGCAACTGTTTAAATTTATAGTGAAAAAATTTTTGATGTTCACCCTAAAATTGTAACAAGAAATACTTAGTTTAAAAAAAATCTTTAGGGTATGGAAGCATATTCTTGAAGGCCATTGAGCTGAATACAGCGTTTGTCTTCATCTGACGTTTGGTTCGTTGGAGTCCTCCTGCCTTTTCTTTTTCAGTCAATAAAGAGTTAATGAGCTCACACTGTGTCCCGGTGTGTCTAGTCATAGGTTTGGTTCCATGACTGCGTATACCTAGCTTCTGAATCATGTTAATCCTGATCTGCTTGATTTTAAGCTTGACAGATAAAGGAAGAAGATGGTTCATTCTGAAGTGGAAATCAGAGGGCCTGATTCAGCTTCAGCATCCAAGCATCCATTTCTAAATGGAGATGATGATATGGCAAAGACAAATCAGAAAACAGTAAGTTGCTACCTGAAAATCACTATCCGTGTAGACATGAGCTGTGTCCATTTGCAGGCTGCCCTTTTATACAGCAGTGCTTGCTTCCTCATCTCTCCCGTAGCAGGATGCAATCCTCTACTCCTTCTGCTGGGGCCCTTCTCGCAGCCGTATGCAGATGTTTTGCCTTGCTGACGCTGATTGGGGTGCAATTTTGGTCTGAGAAACCAGGCCAGATGTTGATTGGCTCAGGTAGGAATTGGCCCCAGCCCTGGGCCCAAGGAGCACTGTGTTATCACCTGCCCACCTCGTGGTTCAGCCTCAAGCTGCAAACCTCTGAGGTGTCATTATGACATTCCATCACAGGGAAGCCACAGGGTGTCTTTTTTCCCCAGAATCCAGACGTAGTGTGGTGGGAACCAAACTGGGCTTCTGGAATCAGTCCCACCTGACTTTGATCCCAGTGCTGACACTTCCAGCTGTTTGATCTTGGGTGGTTATTCCTCCCTGGTTTGTAAGCCTGGCATTCCATCCCTGAAATGGGAATAATAATAGCGTTTACTCGGTGTGGCTGTTGAGAGGAACAAATGCAGGTAGCTTCTGGGCGCTTAGTGCTCAGTGTGTTGCTGTTACACGTTTTAAAATCATGGATCATCAGTCTCTTTCAAGTGGACTCCATTTTCGTAAGCAGTGTTAAACAATATTAAAAACAATGTTGAAGGACAGAAAAGTAAGAAGGTCCACCCCTCTTTCCAGCACCCTATATAACTGTTTACGTTCCCCCACATTTCTCTCCTATGTCCGTTTCTTGCCTGGATGGAACCAGCAGGGCCTGGGGCAGTAAGAACTCACACTACTCACACCCACCTGCTTGGAAGTAGCTTGGCCTTTTCCAGTCAAGTTGAACAGGGTGTGTCTTGTGATCTGGCAATTGCACTTCTAGATGTAGACCTTTCTTCTCAAAGTGTGGTCCCCAGACCAGCAGCATCAGCATCGCCTGGGATGCTGAAGTGCAAATGATGTTTGAAATGCAAATGATCACCCCCCTACACACACCTCCCCCAGACCTAGTGAATTAGAAACCTACTGAACTAAGAGGCAGGGCCCACCCTCTGTGTTTTAACAGGCCCTCCAGGTGATTCTACTTTGTGTGAAAGTTTGAGAACCACTATGCAAACTCTTGTGCATACCCCCTGGGAGCCATGTTCATAAAGCATTGTTTATAATAGCAAAACCGGGAATCAACACAAGTGCCCATGGGTGGTGGAATGCATACACAGACTGTGGTATGCTCATGCAGCCTGAAAAGGAATGAACTAGAGCTCCAGGCTTCAAGATGGTTGAGTCTGTCAACTCAAAAAGCAAATTTGCCTATTATTTTATCTCAAAATGAGTTTATTCAGGCATAGCCAAAGAAATTGCAACTCAGGATGTGCATGCCATGGCAAACCACAGGCAAATCTGGAAAAGAAAGGAAGGGAGCTGCTTTTATAGAGGAAAAGGGGGAACAGGGAGGGGCTGTTCTAAAGGAAAGTCCATTGGGGGAAAGTGACAGTTTAGGGCAGCAATGGCTTCTCATTGGCTGAGCTGTGGCATTCTTCATTGGCTGGGCTGTTGCCAGATGGGGAGGGAAATCTTCCTTCAGTAGTAAAATAGTTGTACTTCCTGTCCAAGATGCAAACATTCCTCTCTTCCTGTTTGGTGTAGTTGACAATGTGTGATAGGGTGTGAGAGCTCCCCCTACAGGCCTTCCCTACTCCAATTTAGTTGAGGTTCCTTTCATTAATTTCCACAAGTCTAAAAAACAATGTTAAACCAAAGAATCAAGTCACAGAAGAAATATACGGTATGATCCCCTTTATATAAAGTTCCCAAACAGGCAGCAATAAACAATGTATTGTTGAGGGAAAGACGGATTGGTGGTACAACTGTAAAGAAGAACAAGAACATGGTTATCACAAGCCTCAGGATAGAGGGACCCTGGGGGTACAAGGGGTAATAGGAGGAAGGTTACTGGGGAGGGGTATACAGAGTGTCTTAAGTACTGGGACTATGTGTTTTCTTAACCCAGGTGGTTGGTACATGCATACTTGTTAATTATTATTCCTGTTTTATAAAATCCTGTGAATAAGTGATATAAAGAAATGAAAACAAGAAGAACTCATAAGGAGGGTTGAGACTGAGGCTGCCGATGGGTACAAAGGTACAGCCGGGCTTCTGGCACCACCAGCACAGGGCTTTCCCTGTGGAGGTGTGCTCCAAACCTTTCTTTTTTTGATGAAGATTCCCCCTGAGCTAACATCTGTTGCCAATCTTCCTCTTTTTTTTTTTTTTTTTTTTGCATGAGAAAGATTCACCCTGAGCTAACATCTGTGGCCAGTCTGTCTCTATTTTGCATGTGGGTCGCCACCACTGCATGGCTGACGAGTGGTGTAGGTCCAGGCCTGGGAACTGAACCGGGGCCGCCGAAGCAGAGCATGCTGAACTTAACCACTATGCCACTGGGCCAGCACCTCAAACCTTTCTTAAGTGTTGTCATAGAGAAAAATTGCTCCAAGCACTTGTTAAAAAATGGCAAGGAGGATTTTATTCAGGACTATTGCAAAAGGGGAGACAGCTTGAGCTCAACATGGAATACAAGGCCAAGTGGGGATTTATAGCCAGTGGACAGGGCAAGGGAGAGGAGGGAGAATTACTAAGAGGAACATGATTAGGATGGGGGTGTGGGGGAAGGAACTTGATTAGCTATCAAACGTGAGGGGATGCTGGACGAACTGGCTGAGCAGGATTCTTTGCTAAGTCAGGCCGAGGAGAGACCTGGTAGAGAAGAGGGTTCAAAGGAGCCCCACTAAAGTTTGGTCAAGGGCATCCTTGTCAGTGTGCACCCCCTTCTCTGCTGAAATTTGTCCACGTTCCCCGTATATGAAATTTTGTACTGTGCATTCTGTAAGGCAGTGGTTCTCAACTGGAGGCAGTTTTGCCCTTGGAACATGTGGCAATGTCTGGGGACGTTTTGGTTGTCACAACTCAGGTGGAATCATGAATAGTGAATAAGGCCAGGGAATCTGCTAAACCTCCTACAGTGCACAGGACAGCCCCTCACAACAAAGACTTACCGGGCCCCAAATATAAATATCTTCTCACCGTATGTCTGGCTGCACGCCCAGTTGCACAAGCAGTGTGGGATAGGTTGTGAAAAGACCAAAGAGAAGACCTGAAGACAGCATACGAGATGTAAGGTTTTACTGGGTCTTACTTACGGGGAATGTCCACTGGCGGCCGGCTGGACGGAATTGTGCACCTGCACCCATTACCATAAACAGAGAGGGGGTTGCTTATGTAGGCAGGGGAATAAAAGTCTACATGCTTGCCAAGAGGGACTATCCTTGCATGGCCAGGATTGCAAGGATCAGCAGCTCACATAGAAGGGCTTTGTGTTCCCTCAGAATGTGATGTTCTTTGAGGCAAACAGTTACAATACCGATGGTTGGCATCCTGCCCAGCAAGGGGCCGAAGACACATGGTTGCTATGGGGTACATAGGCTATTGCCTAACCCACAGTCACAACAATTTTTTCCTATGTTTTCTTCTAAAAGTTTTATAGTTTTAGGTTTTGCATTGAAGTCTATGATCCATTGTGAGTTAGTTTTTGTATATGGTGTGAAATGTAGATACAAGTTCCTTTTTTTTTTTGCATATAGATATTCAGTTGTCCCAGTACCATTTCTTGAAAAGCTTTTCCTTTATCCACTGCGTTGCCGTTGCACTTTTGTCAAAAATCAGTTGTTCATATATGTATTGGTTTATTTCTGGAATGTGTATTCTGTTCCATTGGTCTCTTTCTCCATTTTTACACCAACATCACATTGTTTTGGTTACTGTGGCTTTATAATAATTATTGAAATCAGATAATGTTAGCCCTTAAACTTTGTTCTTCCTGACCATTTATATTTATAGTCATGTGCTACATGGTGACTTTTTGGTCAACGACAGACTGCATATACAACAATGGTCTCATAAGATTAGTACCATATAGCCTCGGTGTGTAGTAGGCTACACCATCTAGGTTTGTGTAAGTATGCTCTATGATGTTTGCACAAAGATGAAATCACCTAACAATGCATTTCTCAGAACATATCCTTGTCATTGGGTGACACGCAGACTCTACTGTGATTGTTAATATAATTAGGTTTGAGAAGATCATTCTGCTATTTGTTTTCTATTTGTCCTATCTGTTCTTCACTTCTCCTTTCCTCTTTTTCTGCCTTCCTGTGAATTAATCAAGTTTTTTTATGATTCCAATTTATCTCCTTTGTTGACTTATTAAATATAACTATTTTAGGGTTTATTTTATGCATCTTTAACTTATCAAGTCTACCTTCAAGTGATATCATACTACTTCATGTTTAATACAAGAACCCTCTTAATACAAGAACAAGCTTTCATTTCTTCCCTCTCTGGCTTCATGCTGTGTTTGTCATGAATTTTAATTTTGCCTATATCATAAACCCCACAATGCATTGTTATTATTTTTGTTCAAACAGTCAAATATCTTTTAAAGATATGTCAGTAATTTAAAAAGTATAGTAGTTAGCATTTCTGGTGTAGATTCCTTTGTGTAGATTAAGATTTCCATTCAGTCTCGTTTTCCTTCTGCCAGAAGGACTTCTTTAGCATTTTCTGTAGTGCAGGTCTGCTGGTGATGAATTTGTTCACTTTTTTATGTCTGAAAAAGTCTTTACTCTCCTTCATTAATTTAAAAGATATTTTTGCTGGGTATAGAATTCTAGGTTGATATTTTTCAGTACTTTAAAAAGGTTGCTCCACTGTATTCTCACTTACATTGTTTCTGATGAGAAATCTGCTGTAAATCTCATCTTTGTTCCTCTATATGTAACCTGTTCTCTGGCTGCTTTAAACATTTTCTCTTTATCACTGGCTTTGAGCTGTTTGACTATAATATGCCTTGATGTAGTTTACTTTATATTTCTTATGCTTTGGGGTTCATTGAGCTTCTTGGATCTTTGAGTTAATAGTTTTCATCAAGTTTGGGAAAATTTTACCTATTATATCTTCAAATATGGTTTTCTGTTCCTCTCCCACTCTCTTTTGAGAACTCTAATAACCTGTATATTAGGTTGTTGGAAGTTGTCCATCTTTGATGGAACATGATGTGCAGGCCATGACAGAATTCTCCCATCCTGCTTTCTCCAGAGCATCGAAAACAGCCTGTGTAGCCAGTACGAGGAGAAGGTGCGCCCTTGCATTGACCTCATTGACTCCCTGCGGGCCCTGGGCGTGGAACAGGACCTGGCCCTGCCCGCCATCGCTGTCATAGGAGACCAGAGCTCGGGCAAGAGCTCTGTGCTGGAGGCTCTGTCAGGGGTTGCCCTTCCCAGAGGCAGCGGTAAGAACTTGCCCTCTGAATTAGTCAGCTTGGACTGCCATAAAAGTACGTGCATGCACCGCATAATGAAGTTTCAGTCAATGATGGACTGCACATATGACGGTGGTCCCATAAGATTAATGCCATATAGCCTAGGTGCGTAGTAGGCTGTACCATCTAGGTTTGTGTAAGTACCCGTCCATGATGTTCACACAATGACAAAATTGCCTAACAATGCATTTCTCAAAATGTGTCCTCATCGTTAAGCGACACATGACTGTACCACAGACTGGGGGGATTAAAAGACAGAAATTTATTTCTCACAGTTCTGGAGGTGGAATGTCCAAGATCAAGGTGTCAGCAGGGCTGGTTTCTCCTGAGGCCTCCCTCCTTGGCTTACAGACGGCCGCCTTCTCCTTGTGTCCTAGTGTGGCCTTTTCTGTGTGTGTGCACACGTCTGGTGTCTTCTACACTTTTTATAAGGATGCCAGTCACATTGGTTAGGGCCCCACTCTCATGACCCCACTTAACCTTAACTACCTCTTTAAAGAAAGGCTCCATCTCCAAATACAGCCATATGCCATATTGGGGATTAGGGCTTCAAAATATGAATTTGGGGGGGACACAATTCAGTCCATAATACCCTCTCATTGCACATTTTTGTGTGGATTGTATGTAACATGCACTTTGTGGAAGGGCTGAGTAAAGGCACTTGGGTCCCCAACCCAGAACTATGTGCATGTGGGTGTCTTTCCTGAGTCCCTTCCCACAAGGTCACCATCCATCTGGGAGGTGAAGATTGGTGCTCTGGTTAGTGGTGCTGTCTGAACTACAAGGCCAAGGATTCATGAGGGCTCAAGGGAAGAGGGCAGACCTGAGATGGGTCTTGAAATCAGGTTGGATGTGGAAGGTTGGTGGAATTTGGAAAGAGTTTCCAGAAGGGAGTTTGTGGTAAGGTGGCCTGGGGGGAGCAGTACACCTTCCTGTTGAGAGTGGAGTGTGTATACTGGGAAGTAGTGGAGGGCGTTTGCACCTGTTTGGGGTTTCCACTGCGATTTGCCACCTCAACTGATGGCAAAACACTGAGATGAAGCAAGAAGCCTCAAGTGGTTGCTTTCAAGCATTGGAGAGCAAAAAACCACCTGGGATGCACATTCAAAATGCATATTCCTGAGGCTCCCCTAGACATAGTGCATCAGAGTAACAGAGGGTGAGACCAGAAAGTTTCCAGTGTTGGCAATCTCCCCAGATGATTATATAAAAGTTTGAGAACCACTAGTCTGAGGCCACCATATAGGTCTTCTAAGAGCAGAGTATAGAAGTGATGTGGACGTGGCCTCCTAGGTATTGTGACAAGATGTCCTCTGGTGCTGAAACTGAAAAGACTTGTGAATGAAGATGAATGGAAAGGCAAAATCAATTACCACGATATCGACACTGAGATTTCAGAGGCTTCAAAGGTGGAAGAGGAAGTCAGAAAAGGTAAGTCCCCGTGTTCCTACGTCATCACCTATTTGAGTGTCTGGTCAAACCGTGTGAAGTGGGCAGGGTCTGCCTGTCACTGTTTCCACTCTCCCCTCTCTGAGCCTGTCCTGTTCCCTTGGGAACTCTCCCTCCCTCCCTCCCTCCCTCTCTCACTCACTCCCTCCCTCCTTCCTTCACTCCCTCCCTCCATCCTTCCCTCCCTCCTTCCATCCTTCCCTCCCTCCTTCCATCCTTCCCTTCCTCTTTCCATCCTCCCCTCCTTCTGTCCTTCCCTCCTTCTATCCTTCCCTCCATCCATCCTTCCCTCCCTCCTTCCATCCTTCCCCCCTTCCATCCCTCCCTCACTCCATCCTTCCCTCTCTCCCTCCCTGCCCACCTCCTCTACATCAGGCCCTCAGCTCCCTTGTATTTTCTCTTCTTTTACCCTCATTAAGACCAGTGCTTTGGACAGAATCTGACCTCAGTCATTTATTTCTTAGTATGTAAGTAAGTATCTGAGAATAATGTGAATTTTAAAACTTAAAGCTTGCCTCCAAATACGGAGTATCTGTCCCTTATTCAAGGGTTTCCCCACTCCACAGATCTGGTGGAAGAAGAGTTGGGGTGTGGGACCAGGGACCCCCATCCCCTGTTAACCTGGTAAAAAGGCCTTCCAAAATGCTGACTGGATCACCACTAAAGCCTATTCAGAAGCGGTGGGCCTTTTCCTCCAAGAGCAGAATGCATGTGTTTGCATAATCCTAATTTAGGCTAATTTATGGCAGGTCTCAATAAATGCAGACCACAGAGATCATTTTATCAATTTGAAGCATCCGAAAGGAGAAATAAGACTTGAAGTAGATAAGGACAAAGCAGTGACACAGTTAGTTGCTGCCAAGTGTGAATGAGAAGAATGAATAACTTCTTCCTTTAATTTCTTCCTAGCATGTCACACAATTAAGTTTCCACCATTTGGGGAAGGCACAAAAGTGGCATGAACTGATACTCAGCAGTAGGAAAGAATGGGCTTGACTTTTATAAAGGTAGAAGCACTAATGAGCATTCACTAACTGTTGTGCAGAAATTCGATAATGTTAGAGTCAAAATGTTATTGTGTGTTTGTTGGGATTAGGTTGGCTGCCTGGGTCAGAAAACTCAAAATCACTGTGTGTATCAGTCAGCCCTTGCTGTGTAACAAACTGATCTCGAAACCTAATGGCTTGGAACTGTTCATTTCTTGAGGTTCAGTGCATCAGCTGGGCACTTCTTTTCCTCTGGGCTGGCTGCACTGGGGCCAATAGTCTAGGATGGCCTGGGTCACATATCCAAACCCCTGGCTGGAATGACCAAGCCTTCTCTCCCTGTGATCTGTTATCCTCCAGGAGGCTAGGCTGGGCTCTTTTTTTTTGGTGGGGGGGGAGGAAGATCAGCTCTGAGCTAACATCCATGCTAATCCTCCTCTTTTTGCTGAGGAAGACCAGCTCTGAGCTAACGTCTATTGCCAATCCTCCTCCTTGTTTTTTTTCCCCCGCAAAGCCCCAGTAGATAGTTGTATGTCCTAGTTGCACATCCTTCTAGTTGCTGTACGTGGGACGCCGCCTCAGCATGGCTGGAGAAGCGGTGCGTTGGTGTGCGCCCGGGATCCGAACCTGGGCCACCAGTAGCGGAGTGCGCGCACTTAACCACTAAGCACGGGGCCGGCCCCTAGGCTGGGCTCTTTGACACGGTGGCGGAAGGGTTCCCAGCAGCAAGAGAGAGAGCAAGCCCCGATGCATAAGCACTTTTCAGTCTCTACTGGAATACATTTCGTGATGTCTTAGCCAAAGAAAGTCACACGATCAAACCCAGTTTCAAGGGGCAGAGTCCCATTCAATAGGAGAAATGGCAAAGTCACTGTAAAGCAGCATGCATGCAAGGATGGAAGGGAACATCAAGGCATTTGTGCAAGCAAGTTCCTAACACAGTGGCTTAAACAATGTATCAGTTTTATTTCTCTCTCATGTAGAAGTCTGGAGGTGGGCAGACCAGAGCTGGTTTGGGGGTTCCAGTATCAGGAACCCAGACTCCTGTCTTTTTTCTCCATTCTCTGTGGTCTCCGCTCCAAGGCCCCCTCGTGATTTAGTCAGCAAGTCCACATTCCAGCCAGCTGGACATTGGCAAAGGGCATATCCCTGCCTTTTGAGCAGATTTTCCTTTTTTTTTTTTATAATATAATTTTATTTATTTATTTATTTTTCCCCCCAAAGCCCCAGTAGATAGTTGTATGTCATAGCTGCACATCCTTCTAGTTGCTGTATGTGGGACGCGGCCTCAGCATGGCCGGAGAAGCAGTGCATCGGTGCACGCCCGGGATCCGAACCCGGGCTGACAGCAGCGGAGCGCGCGCACTTGACCGCTAAGCCACGGGTCCGGCCCTGAGCACATTTTCTGAAAGTTGTGGATAACATTTTCACATCTATCCCATGGGCCAGACTTAATCTCATGACCACATCTCCAGTAAATGGATATTGTGAGAACAATTAGAAGATTATGCCACACATACCATCGTTGTTATTGTTTCCATTCTAGGTTCTTGACTGGTATAGAACAAAAATACATTCTGGGTATAGAAGGAAGTAAGGTGCTATTGGCTAACAATTTGATGAAATAAATTCATATCTTTAAATTTTCATTATTAAGGAGGAAGGAGCAAAATGAAATCCTTAATGAATTACCAACAGCTGATGCTCATCTTGCCTGAAACAAGCATGTTCCCCCCTGTAATTTTCCCGGTCATGTTTTAGGAATCCTCGTGTATTTTTATTTGTTTTAATTTTACTTCCTTGTTAATTTCTTAATACATCAATGGGAAAGATTTAGATGTGACACTAGAAACAACTTCTGGGCTCTGCTGAGCTTTGGACCTGTACAGGCCGGTGTCATCTTTAGAGATGTTTCCACTGGGTCTGCAGACTGTTGTGGCCACCAGCAGGGAGTCATCCTTTGAGGCTCCAGAAAAGTGAATCTGCTCCAAATATGCCTTTATCCATGGGTCACAGTGTGTAGAAGGTGCTGTCAGAGGATTTGCTATAATGAGAGTTCCATCCTAAGCTCTATTCAGTTTTTCCTTTTTTTCTCTCCTCTAGCCCAGAATTTCATCGCTGGGGAAGGAATGGGAATCAGTCACGAACTAATCACTCTGGAGATCAGCTCCCCTTATGTCCCAGATCTGACCCTGATAGACCTTCCTGGGATTGCCAGAGTGGCCATGGGCAATCAGCCAGCTGACATCGGACGTCAGGTGAAACTTCAGGCTCCATCATGACCTTGGCCTTGGGGTCAAGGGGGCTGCATTAGAGCAGCAGTGAGTTCAGGGCTGAGTTTGAAGAGCAGCTATTAGGAGGTATTGAGTGGGGAATTTGGAGAGCACAGTGGTCACTGTCTCCACCAAGTTGGATGGAAGTTTCTCTGGAGAGAGAGAGATAAACAGGCAAAGCTGGAAATGCATTTTCTGTGTGTTTAGTGTTTTATACAGTGACTCATTTTTGAATATAGTTACGTTTGGTGGCATATCTGAACTGCTATGTATCCGGAAGAGGTTTTATGTGGGAAGAGCGAGCATTAGAAGCAAGTATAATGATATTTCTGTATCAGTGAATCTTGCCCTATGGATTGAAGATTTAAGAAAGAGTCAAGTCATTCTTTTGGCATCCTGTTTTTCACGGTGACCATCAGATTTGTGGTCTTAGGAGATAGTTAATGAGCTAAAACCTCATGGTTTTCCCTGACCCCAGAGCTCTGTTTCTGCCACAGAGATTTAGTTTCTCATAACTCTGGCTTGGGAATTGCCACCAGGCTTGTGTCGTGGGCTCATTTCTCCATAGTTACTTCTTCTGGGGAAATACCCCCGGGGACTCTGGGGGCCTGAAGCAAATGCAAAGTCAGGACCTGTCTCAACTCTCATTCCTGTTTGGAGTGTTCACATGGCTCCTCTCGTTTTCTTGCAGATCAAGGCCCTCATCAAGAAGTACATCAGCAAGCAGGAGACGATCAACTTGGTGGTGGTCCCCTGTAACGTGGACATCGCCACCACGGAGGCGCTGAGCATGGCTCAGGAGGTGGACCCTGAAGGAGACAGGACCATCGGTAAGGAGAGGGAAGAACCTAACAATGGTCGGTGGTCTAGTAGTACGAAAGCGTCCTTTGAATCCAAATGGGTATTTCTTGTCACACACGCAGGGTCGGGGGCCTGCACCCAGCCTTGAGGCCAGATGAAATGGGCCACATTTGACTCTTGTTGGCCACAAGTTGGCTTATAATAATCCTTGTTTATCTGCTTATAAAAGGCATGGTGGGTTCACGGGGCAGGGCAAACTCAGACAGCAATTTTATCATTTAACAATAATTTTGAGGTAGAGGCAATGCAAGCATGCACAACAAATGAATGGATAAACAAAATGTGGTGTATCCATACAGTGGAATATTATTCAGCCTTAAAAAGGAAGGACATTCCAGGGCCCGTGGCTTAGAGGTTAAGTGCGCGTGCTCCGCTGCTGGCGGCCCGGGTTCAGGTCCCAGGTGGACACCGACGCACCGCTTCTCCGGCCATGCTGGGGCTGCGTCCCACATACAGTGGCTGGAGGGATGTGCAACTATGACATACAACTATCTACTGGGGCTTTGGGGGAAAAAATAAATAAATAAATAAATAAATAAATAAAAAAGGAAGGACATTCCAATGCATGCTACAACATAAATGAACCTTGAGGGCATTATGCTCAGTGAAACAAGCCATTGCAAAGGGACAGATACTGTATGATTCCACTTACATGAGATCCCTAGAGGGGTCAAATTCATAGAGACAGGAATTAAAAGGGTGGGTGCCGGGGGCTAGGGGGAGGGGGAATGATGAGTTAGTGTTCAATGGGGACAGAGTCTCAGTTGAGGAAGATGGAAAGTTCTGGAGATGGATGGTGGTGATGGTAGCACAGCAATGTGAATGTGCTTAATGCCACTGAACTGTACACCTATAAATGGTTAAAATGGTAAGTTTTATGTTAAAAAAAAAAAAAAAGAATATGTTTGGCTGTAAGTAGCAGAGAACCTAGGTACAGTGGCTGGAAGAAATGACGATTTCTTTTCACACGTAACAAGAAGTTTACGCAGAGGCAGCCCACCTCTGCAACAGTGCTCAGTGGTGCTGCAGGACCTGGTCCTCTTCCTCCTTCCTCCTCCAGCATCCTGAGTGGTCGGCTTTCATTCTTTGCTTGTCCTGCTTCCTGCCATGCCCAGGATGGGAATCTCTCGGCCAGGGCAGCAGGTGCTAGTGGGCACTGTAAACCTCAGGGTCAGGCCTGGGCTGGCTTCACAGTGTGCAAGCTGGGCAGTCACCCAGGGCCCCGTCCACAGAGGGGCCCACGCTTGGTTTAATGCTGCTGCTGCCTTGCCGTGCTCAATATTTGAATGAGGGGCTCTGCATTTTCATTTTGCAGTGGGCCCCGCAAATGATGTAGCTGGTCCTGGCCGGAACTTTGCTTCTCAAAGTGTGGGCCAGGCCCCACCCGCACCAGAGCTAACTGGAGAATTTTTAGAAATGCAAGTCCCTTGATCCCACCAAACCTGAATCAGAATCTCTGGGGCGGGACCTGAGACTCTGCATTTTAAGACTCACCTCGGGTGGTTCTGCTACACAGGGAAGTTTGAGAGCCACTGCAATAGAGAATGAACTCTTCCATTGGGCAGAAGGAGAAAAAAAAGATTACATGCTGCTGTCTCCTTGGCATGAGGGCTGAGACCAGGGTGAAGTGAGCTCGAGAAGAGCCCCCTTGGCTGCTGATGGGGGGCACACTGTCTTCTGCAGTTCCTTCACTGGAAAGGGGCTGCACCTCACACCTTGGTTCTGCAAGGACTATTGTCTGCCCTTATAAGGGTGGGAGAAAGCCGGTGGCCGGGGGACTCCCCTCCCCTGGGTGAGTGAGCTGTCCTGCACTTCTCACTCCTGTGAAGCTGTAAGCCTTCTCTAATTGAAAGCCTCTGGCTCTCAGGAATCTTGACAAAGCCTGACCTCGTGGACAGAGGCACTGAAGAGCAGGTAGTGGACGTGGTACGAAACCTCGTCTACCACCTGAAGAAGGGCTATATGATGGTCAAGTGCCGGGGCCAGCAGGACATCCAGGACCGGCTGAGCCTGGCTGAGGCTCTGCAGAGAGAGAAGGCCTTCTTTGAGGACCACCCACATTTCAGGTACGCCTGGCTGTGTGTTCCTGAGAATAAACCAAAACTAAGGACCTCCGTCCTTGCTAAGGAAAATGTCCGAAAACAGATATTCAGACTATGCGCGTGAGTGTGTTTGTTCCTTGACAATGACTGTGGAATTTGCCTGGAAGAACAAAAGAGGAATTCACAAAGTATTGCCAAAAATAAATTTAAAGAAATCAGGGGCCGGCCCAGTGGCATGGTGGTTAAGTCCACGTGCTCCACTTGGGCGGCCCAGAGATCGTGGGTTTGGATCCCGGTCGTGGACCTACACACCACTCATCAAGCCACGCTGTGGCATCGTCCCACATACAAAACAGAGGAAGATTGACACGGATGTTAGCTCAGGGCCAAATCTTCCTCACCAAAAAAAATAATAATAAATTAAATAAATAAAAATAATAAATTTTAAAATAATCAAAATAAAAAGGCAGCTTCTAAAATAATTTAAATAGTATGGTGCTGGAACCAGAATAAAAACAAAAATACAACAGTATAGAAAAAAGTAGAAAGCCCAGAAACAGACCGAGATACAGATATTAATATGTGATACATGTGGTATTTCAAATCCATGGGCTGCATCGGTTTGATTATCAATCAGTGGCATTGAGATGATTAATATCTGGACAAAAATTAAATTGTAAACACCCTTACTTATCATGTTATTACCAACATAAATATCAGTTGAAGTTTAAAATTAAGTATAAGAAAGAATCCGTAAGCATCCCAGAAGAAAATATAGATGGAGAGTTTATAGTCCCAGGATAAAGACCTTTTTAAACTTAATGCCAAAGTGAAATTTTTTAAGAAGGAAAAGACTGATAATTTGGTTAGACTTAAAATAATGAGATGGAGAGTAGGTGGGAGAGGAGGAGTGTGGCTTTCAGCCCCTGCTGCTGGGAGCGTGTGCCAGCACAACCCCCTCATGGTGCTTTGGTAACAGGTGAACGAGTCTTGAACAGGCACATCCCCATGGGTCAGGGCTCCACTTTTGAGAATTCCACCCAGGAAAGTAATCAGAGGTATGTGTGGTGATATCTGCTAAAGGAGGTACAGCACAGATTTGTTTGTAATCGTGAAAATTTGGAACAATCTAAATGTTGACTTATTTATATAAACAAACCAGAGGAAGTGATCACAGTGTTTGTAAACATTAGAGTGCTGTGCCAATAAGATGCCAATAAAAATGTGCTTATAAGATGTTAAGAGGAAGGTGACACGTTCACTGAGAACTTGTGTACACACGTGTGTATGTAGGTGGAGATGCGTGTACTCTGTACACATTATTACATTCAGTTCTCCCAGAAGCCTGCAGAGATGTATAATTCAGAACAGATACTTGTACGTGCATGGTCATAGCAGCATTATTCACAATGGAAGCAACCCAAGTGTCCACTGACAGATGAATGGACAAACAAAGTGTGGTCTAGCCATACAGTAGAATATTATTCAGCCCTAAAAAGGAAGGACATTCTGACATATGCTAGAACACGGATGAACCTTGAGGACACTATGCTGAGTGAAGTAAGCCAGTCACAAAAGGACAAATACTGTATGATACCACTTGTATGAGGGTCCCTAGAGGAGTCAAATTCATTGAGACAGAAAGTGGCAGGGTGGGTGCCAGGGGCTGGGGGAGTGGGGTGGGGAGTTAGTATTTAATGGGGACAGAGTTTCAGTTTGGGAAGATGAAAATGTTCTGGAGATGGATGGTGGTGATGGTTGCACAACAATGTGAATGTACCTATTACCACTGAACTGTGCACTTGAAGACAGTTAAAATGGTACATTTTATGTTATGTATATTTTACCACAATTTTTAAAAATTGGTCGGTGTGGAAACTGAAACTTAGGTGTGAGTGTGCTTTTGTAAATGGGCATGAAAACTCATGCTTCTCTGCTGCCTTTTGTCCCAAAAAGTCCTTTAAAGTGTAGAAAACCCTGTAATAACTCGTCTTGCGAACACAAATTAGAAAAAGTGAGAAGAAGCTTGGTTTCTTCCTCCAAGCAGCCCATGGATTAAGTTCTTGTTTTGGGGCAGGTGTCCCCCGGTTCAGTGTTCATACACACCCCATGTCAATATGTGTCGATTTACTTTTATGAAGCCCATGTACCAATATGCATTATGTGTACTTATACATATATTACACACAGAAGGGTGTGTGTATGTGTGTGTTATGAAAACATATCTGTAGATGACTGTGTCTGTTTTTATAAAGATGAATTCTCTAGTCAGATGTCATGGGACACATTTAATATATCAGCTGGAAAGGGTCATTTTATACCATTTTTGAAATATCTCAAATTACTAAAATTCAGTCACAATTCTATGCCATCCAATTCTGAACATTTCTTGGGTACCAACTGCAGGACATTCCATCCAGTTGGAAGTGACTGGATTTGCCTTGACTTTGCCCAGCAGCCGGCAGCTGACTTGTATTTTCTGGCTACATGAAGATGGACATGTACGTTGTCTTCTCTTGCAGTGGTCTTCTGGAGGAAGGAAAGGCCTCGGTCCCCTGCCTGGCGGAGAGACTGACCACTGAACTCATCACGCACATCTGTGTAAGCACAGGCGGAGCTGTCCATTCTCTGAATAGAATCCTATGAACACAAAGCTTAACCGTCTCAGGCTCTTAAACGTCAGCGTGCACGCAGGTGTCCTGGGCCTCTTGTTAAGATGTAGGCTCAGATTCAGTGGGTCGGGAGCGTGGAAATGGATTCTCCATTTCTAGCAAGTTCCAGGGTGCTGTGGATGTTGCTTGTCAGAAGCCCACACATTGAGTAGGATGCTGATAGACTATACCCACTTGGCCTAATTAAAAATTAAAATCTTAAGAGCACTGTGCTAACATGTACAGTGTACATAATGTCTTGGTCATTGTAATGATCATATATTTCATTTCTTAAATTTCTCTGTGGTTCTTTTTCAAATCCGCCCAGACAGTGTCCCTTGCTTTTTCATTTTTTCAATCCTTTTAAAAGATTTCTTTGGGGCCGGCCCGGTGGTGTAGTGGTTAAATGCGCGTGCTCTGCTTCAGCGGCCCGGGGTTCGCAGGTTCGGATCCCGGGCGTGCACTGACGCACCGCTTGTCAAGCCATGCTGTGGCGGTGGCCCACGTAAAGTAGAGGAAGATGGGCATGGATGTTAGCCCCGGGCCAATCTTCCTCACAAAAAAAAAAAAACAAAAACAGATTTCTTTGCACATATTTCTGTTGTAGTTTGCTCTTGACGGTTCAGCGTCAGAACCTTGGGGCGTTGGGTTTGGCTAGCCGTCACCCACACTGGCTTGGGCGAGAGTTTTATCTGTGAGCCTGTCTTTCTTGGAACTTGATCTGTAGTTATTTATGGAAACCTGTGTTCAAAATGGGTTTCTCCAGGGAAAGGCAGCGTTTGCTTCTGCTAGACCCCTAAGAAGGGCCTCCAGCCTGAACCACTTTAGATTCTCAACTTGAGGTTTTGGGGACCCCTCAGGGAGTGTGAATTTGGGTACAAAACTGTTTGAGGGCTTGCTGGTATTTATAGATTCTCAGCAGATTTGATTTTCCCCTCCACTCAGCACCAGAGTTTGGGCATTTTGTGTAGTCCCCAGAAATGGAGTGGAGGGACAGGGATGTTCCTAGCTTATCCTTACAATGAGAGCATAGCTTTTCCGGAGTCCCAGCTTAATGCAAGAGAAGATGCTCGCTCATTAGATTCCCCACCTTGAGCAAGCCCACCAGGAACTCATCCTTTGCCCCGGCACTAAGTCAGGCTCTGAAATGAAAGTTCAAGTTTTCTTTCCTACAAATGCCCCCGAGGCCGAATCTGACGTCACTGCTGCTTTCTTCGCACATCCCTGGGCACCCACTGGCACCTGACTTGGGCTTCTGAGTGTCTGTTATATACCTGCCAGCTCACTGACACATTGAAAGGGTTGTTTTTGACGTGCTAGCCAGCATTTCTAGATGTTTGCAGTGGAAGGGTGAGCCAGCACACGCAGTCAACCATATTATTAGAAACAGAAGTTCCTGATAACTTTTACTAATTGTTCCTTGCGTTGCTCTGACGGAGCCCAGGAACCAGGCAAAGTGGATGACACCTCAGCATGGCTCTGAGGCTGTTTCTGCAGGAACGGGCAGTGGGAAGGCCTGGATGGAAGACAGTGCCTGCTAATATGCCCCCTCTCCCTCTGGAAAATCTTCCGTCTAGAGGAAGCCAGGAAGCCGAATGGACCGTGCAGCTGCCCCAACCTTGCAGAAGGAGGCCTGGGACCTCCTTCTCCTTCCCTGTCCATGTTTATGGATTTTCATTATTATCTCTCTGTTTTCCTCAGAAATCTCTGCCCCTGTTGGAAAATCAAATAAAGGAAAGTTACCAGAAATTATCAGAGGAGCTACAAAAGTGTGGCACCGACATACCAGAAGATGAAACTGAAAAGATGTTCTTCCTGATAGAGGTGAGTACTGCCAGATGCATCGAGTTGGAGAGTCCAACATCATTGTCCAGAAAGGGACTGTTGTGCCTCACTTCTTTCCTCACTCCGCTAAAGCCGATCCAAACTCATTCTGCCCACTTAGCACCAGAGAGGGGCAGGGGTTGAGGGACGGAGGGCAGGGAAGGGGGGCGACATGGAGGGCAGAGTCGGCATGGTGGATGGTCACATGCACTTCATTGACCCTTCATCATGCACACTCACCCAAGAACTAGAAGACAATAAAGGGAGAGTCGGATGGTCTGGTGCCAGAGACTCTCCTTTCCCATCATCCGCAGTGGCCCCTAAGGTGGCAAAGAATGACACCCACCCTCAGCATACACACGACCTCCAGACTACCTTGACACTTGTTTGAAATATCTCCACTTATGCGTTCGTGTGTCTTCTTGACAGAAAATTACTGCGTTTAATCAGGACATCACCTCCTTAGTACAAGGGGAGGAAATTGTAGGACAGGATGACACTCGGCTGTTTAACAAAATCCGAAAGGAGTTCCAGAAATGGAGCACTGTGATTGAAAAAACTTTCCAAAAGGGTGAGTCCGAGGCACCATCGTAAACCTGGTGCGCTGGGTGGAGTCAGAGGCCAGGGAGGGGGCTGATGGCGCTGCTGAGGATGGCCGGAGTAAGGACTTAGTGATGCGAAAGCCACATTTGCTCTGTTCCGTGTCACTGAACTTGGGCCGGCAAGCATCTGTTACTGATTTTAGAGGACACCTGGAGAGAAAATGCAGATTAATCAGCCTAAATCAATCGTGGCTTCTAGAAGAATCAGCCCTCCATCCCTCATGAGCAGGTGGACATGACATGTGTATCACGCCCTTTGTGTTACAAATGGTGCCACCACCGAAATAACCTAGACTCGATCTTGGTTAACTGGCTGAGGTCTTGAAGGCTGATGTGTGTCTTAATGGTTTGATAGTCTCAGTGATGAACAAGAAAATGAAACAAGGTGCCACTCTGGCATTGTCAAATCGTCAAGAGTCTGAAAATGTGATCTGAAATTTATTTTTTAATATTTCAAGTAGCCTAAAGGAAATCCTATGCTGACCAATGATAAAGCTATAGCAGCAGAGAGAAATGTCAAGTCACTTTACTCTTATCCAGGCAACTCGATGGGGTTCTATAATTTATTTCAGCTGACCAGAGGTTCAAATGAGCAGTTCTCCTTGGCTTTGAGTAATGAACGTGGGAAAATAAATCTTGCAATTTTTTACATAACTCAAAGGCCACAACTTTGAGTCCATGTGTTCCTTGGCAGAGGGCATGGAGGGCAGGATGGGATAAATAATAGCTCTCCTTGATGGAGAGACGTTCTTGAAGCTCATTCTGGGCAGTCACTTGCCAAGTCTCCACAGTGCCCATTGCTGCTTACCGGCCCTGCATCCCCGGAGCAGAGGGTTGAACACCTGCCATGTGGTGTGTTCTTACGTCAAGAGAGAACGGCTCTGCCCCTTTCAGAGGAGACCACAGTCCTTGACTTCCAGCAATTCCTATGCATTGCTCAGCCGGCTTTCTATGGCGTTAAGTGCTTGTGGCATGCAACCCGTGAGAAGATAGCTCACTTTTTTAAAATTCTAAATTCCTCCCAACAAATTATCAGTTGAAAATCACTGTACCCACAGGAAGAGAATGAATTCAGACCCCTAACTCACCCCTTATACAAAAATTAACTCAAAATCAATCAAAAACCAAAATGTAAGAACTAAACTAGGAAACTCTTAGAAGAAAGCTAAAGTTCAGATCTTTGTGACCTTGGATTAGGCCATGGTGTTTTAGATAGGACACCTAAAGCACAAGCAACAAAGGAAAAAATAGATAAATTGGACTTCATCAAAATTAAAAACTTCCGCGTGTCGAAGGACACTATCAAGAGAGTGAAAAGACACCCCACAGAATGGGAGAAAATGTTTGCAAATTGCATATCTGATAAGGGTCTAGTATCCAGAATATACAAAGAGCTCTTACAACTCAACAACATAAAGACAAATAATGCAATGTAAAGATGGAGGAGGGATTGGGATAGACATTTCTCCAAACAAAAAGATATGCAAATAGGCTATAAGCACATGAAAAGAAGCCCACCATCGTTAGCCGTCAGAGAAATGTGAATAAAATCCACTGTGAGAGCGCATCTTCCATTGACTAAGATGACTGTCATCAAAAAGACATAGTAAGAAGTGTTGACAAAAACGTGGAGAAATTAGAACCCTCATACACTGCTGGACGAAGTGTGACGTGGTGCAGCTGCCTTGGGAAACAGTCTGGCAGCTCCTCAGAAAGTTAAGCGTACAGTTATCATATGACCCAGCAATTCCATTCATAAGTATATCCCCAAGTGCACGGAAGCATACATTCACATAAAAACTTGTATATGATTGTTCTTAGCAGCACTATTCATAATAACCAAAAAGAGGAAATAACCTGAAGGTCCATCCACTGAGGAACCGATAAATACAATGTGGTCTATCCATCGGTATTACTTTGCTAGAGTACCACAGAGTGGGTGTCTTATTAAACAAGAGAAGTTTATTTTCTTATAATTCTGGAGGCTGGAAGTCCAGCATCTAGGTGTCGGCAGGGTTGGTTTCTCCTGAGGCCTCTCTCCTTGGCTTGTAGATGGCTGTCTTCTCCCTGTGTCCTCACATGGTCTTCTCTCTATGTGTGTCTGTGTCCTGATCTCCCCTTCTCATAAGGACACCAATCAGATTGGAGTAGGGCCCACCCTAATGACCTCATTTCAACTTAATCACCTCTTTAAAGGCCCTTTCTCCAAACACAGTCACATTCTGAGGGATTGGGGGTTAGGACTTCAACATATGAATTTTGAGGGGACACAATTCTGCAAAACACCATGCAATGGAAGATCATTCAGCCATAAAAGGCATGAAGTGCTGATACATGCTACAACATGGAGGAACTTTGAACACATTATGCCAAGTGAAAGAAGGAGACGTAAAAGGCCACACGTTGTATGATTCCATTTGGGCGAAATATCCAGAATAGGCCAATCCATTGAAATAGAAAGTAGATTAGTGGTTCCCAGGGGCTGAAGAGAGAGGGACATGGAGGGTGACAGCTGATGGGTACAGGGTTCCTTGGGGTGATGGAAATGTTTGAGAATGAGACAGAAGTGATGGTTGCACAACTTTGAGAATATACTAAAAATCACTGAATTGTAGACTTTAATAAGGTGAACTTTATAGTATGCGAATTATATCTCAATTAAGAAAATTCCCGTGAGAAAATATCTCCTGACCAGACTACCAACTACATCCCTGATTGGTTCTTGTAAGAATCAGAGCCCTTCTGAATTTCCGCCCCCAGTGGGGGTGTTTCTCCATAGTCTAGTTTGTTAAGAGTAAAAAGAATTCCAACAGTATAAAGCAAAAACGAAGTGTGGTAAACAGTGACGCCGTGTCACATTAATAAGATCTATGTGCCTGGCTACTCCATCAGCCCATTTGATTTATAAACACTTTCTACTCATGTGACAGCATGTGAATATGTGATGTTTGCCTATTCTGGGTATGTTCATGGTCATTTCTACTTTTTAAAGCGCCTTCAGGTCATAACATCCTATGATGCAATTTCTTTGGTAAAAATCAAATTTGATTTACATAATTTCATGCTCGAGTACCTTGTCAAGTGTACCTCTTACTCTGAGTTTCTGCGTCTGCTGTTTTCTGGCATCACACCCTGGCCTGGTACTTGCCATCTTGAGATGACCAAGGAAAACTATCTTGAGATCTGTTTCTTTGTTGCAATCCCTGCATATTTTTCAATTTGCAAATCAAATTTGATTCTTTTTTCTTGCCACCCCATGCTTTCAGAAAACCCAGTATTGTGTTTAGAAAAACTTGCACAGTTGTTTTTATCAAATAATTCGGAGCTCTTCTTTCGTACCATAGGTGATTCAGATATCCGCAAACAAATCAGGACATTTGAAAATCAGCATCGTGGCAGAGAGCTGCCAGGATTTGTGAATTATAGGACGTTTGAGACGATCATAAAACAGCAGATCGAGAAGCTAGAAGAGCCAGCAATTGATATGTTGCACAGGGTAACTGGTGAGTTCTTGGTTTTGATTTTATGCATTTTATTTCTGGAGCAAGGAAAGGGTTGAACTGAAACCAGTGCCAGACTTCAGAGCTCTCCTCCGGGGGTCTTTTCCATCACCAACAACCCAGCCGATTCTCTTATTCTCCGGATGCCAACTGGGTGTTCAACAATGCAGTTCAATTCTGACACTAATACCCAGGGTGAGCATGGACCCCACAGCTTAAGGGCTCAGTCCCACGAGACTGCCCCCACTTCAGATGGCAGTGACAAGTCGCATGTCTCTTGTACTTCTCACTGACCAGCTGTACAGCGGACTTCCCATGACTCCTCATGCTCGATAAGTTGCTAGAACAGCTCACAGAACTCAGGAACACACTTTACTTACCTTCACCAGTTTATTATAAAGGAAGCAAATGAAAGATGCACGGGGCAAGGTCTGCGACGGTCCCAAGTGCAGGAGCTGCTGTCCCTGTGGAGTTGGGGGCACCACCCTCTTGGCACGTGAATGTGTTCACCAATCTGGAAGCTCCCCAAACCCTGTTGTTTAGGGGTTTTTATGGAGGTATAATCAATTATCGCGCAGGCCTGATCACTTATAAACTCTCTCCCCTCCCCCCACCACCGGAGGTTGGGGATGTGGGGAAGGTTGGGCTGAAAGTTCCAGGCTTCTAATCATAACTTGGTCTTTCTGGCAACTAGCCCCCATCCTGAAGCTATCTAGGGCCACCAAGAGTCACCTCATTAGAATAAGAGATGCTCCCATCACCCAGGACATTCTAGGGGATTTAAGAGCCCTGTTTCAGGAACCAGGGACAAAGACCAAATATCTATTTCTTATTATATCATACCTCCACTCTGCTCCACTGTTACGATTACTTCACAGTCTCAAAATACCCTGTTGATTTGAAATCTCTGAGATTTCAAAGTAAGGTCAACAACTAGATAACTATATGCCATGGGAGTGTTTCGAGCATTCTAAAGTGCTGTTTGAATCTGGGGCAGGATAAAGATGACCATGTGTAGATAGGAAACTCCATCAGCGGCCTGTTGAGGAGAAATGCAACATTTCATAGGGCCGACCACTCCCTGCTCCCTGAAACGCTTTGCTCCTTGGTTTCTGAGATGCTATTGAATCTCTTCTCTTCGTCCCCTACTTGGCTGACACCATTCTCATCAGGCTTCAACTGTCTCATTTTATTTTATTTTATTTTATTTTATTTTATTTTATTTTATTATTTTATTTTATTTTATTTTATTTTAATTTAATTTTTTAATTTTTTGTGAGGAAGATCAGCCCTGAGCTAACATCCATGCTAATCCTCCTCTTTTTGCTGAGGAAGACCGGCTCTGAGCTAACATCTATTGCCAGTCCTCCTCCTTTTCTTTTCCCCTCCAAAGCCCCAGTAGATAGTTGTATGTCATAGTTGCACATTCTTCTAGTGCTGTATGTGGGACGCGGCCTCAGCATGGCCGGAGAAGCAGTGTGTCGGTGCGCACCCGGGATCTGAACCCGGGTCCGCCAGTAGCGGAGCGTGCACACTTAACCGCTAAGCCACGGGGCCAGCCCCAACTGTCTCATTTTAGCAACAAGTAATAATCATTCACAGATCCATGAACTAGCAGAGATGGGAGGACAGTGTCATAACAGCTCGTTAAGAGATGCATTTCTAATAAAATTTTAACTTTAGGCTTAATATATACCAAATAGGCTCCTATATATATATATAATATATAGATAAGCTTATATATATATATAATATATACCATCAGGCTTAATTATATACCAAAATCTGTAATTGTGTTGTGTTGATCAACTGTGTACTCTTAATTCACTCCTGAAGAAAATCTGTAGTTCTTAGAGCCTTATAATCATAGAAAAAATTTTTAAACCTATATATATATACCTACCTCTGTTTCAGAAAGATAGGATATGGAGTCAAAAGATTTCCAAACATAAAGGCACTGTATATCGTATTAGGATAAAATTCTGTGAGGAAGTCAAATGGAAATATGGGTTTAAAAAATAAAAAGAAATAATGTAAATTTTCTGATTGAAATAGAAGCTTGTCCATGTATTTCTTTTCAAATGGATAATGTGGACATTTAGAGTTCACTGATGTATTTAAAAGAGTGAATGTTTGACTATAAAATTGTGATACAGTCATAACTTCGCAAAAATTACATTCTTTGCAACTATTTATACTTAGGATGAAAATTTTAAATGTCAAATAAATATGCCAGGGAACATTTAGGTTTTAAAATTCTTGCAGGGAGTTCTGGAGCACAAAAGCACGGCTTCTTCCTTGAGTGAAAAGAAGCGAGGAACGAAGGCAGGGAGGGAGGGGGGAGGGGATTTGTTTCTTGCCATTTTATCCTCTTATTTTTTGCAATCTATGAAGATTATGAATGATTCTACTAATAATGGACTTTCTTTGTCTTTCTTTCATCAGATCTGGTCCGGACTACCTTCACAGACGTTTCAAAAAAAAATTTTGATGAATTTTTCAACCTCCACAGAACCACTAAGGTAAAACCAACCATATGTTATTTATGTCCAAAATGATCTTATAGTATTATTAATGTTGTTGAAAGATGTGCATGATATATTTAGTCATGAGAACATTACTCAAGATTTTAGAAAAAATATCCATACATAAATATATATATAAAGTGTATACACCAAAGTGTTGCAAGTTGTTATAGGATTTTATTTGGGTAACGACAATTTTTATTTTTGCTTGTCTGTATCTTCCAAATTTTCTGCATGTATGTTACTTTTGCAATAAAAACAAGCCTTATCAAAAAAAAAATAATAATAAGCCTGACACTGACAAATAGATTTCTTGGATTAAGACCACTGCAACTTTAGTGTGTATTTGGAGAAGCTAATAATCAGGCTCATTGGTGAATTTTTCTAATGATATTACCAATGATGTCTGGTTAAAGGAATAAGAGAGAGAGAGCAGAGCAAGAGAGAGAATTCAGAAATAAAATATTTAAAATCACGGGAACAAAAGAGAGCCATTGTTAATGTAGAACATTGTCCCATCTGGAGAAAATGGCCCTAAATCCAGAAACTCACTGAGAAACCCAACTACAAAAATGGCATCTTTCAAGAGTGGAGAAAGAGACCAACGAGGACGTGAGATGCCCCCACCTCAAGAAGCCAAGAGACCAGACTCACCCATTCTCAGAAACAGGGGCCCCCGTGCCTTCGTCAGTGTGGGCTGCTGTAACGGATACCACAGCCTGGGCGCTTACACAGCAGACGTTTATTCCTCACAGTTCTGGAGGCTGGGAAGTGCCAGATCAAGGTGCTGGCAGATCTGGTGTCTGATGAGAGCCCACTTGCTGGCTTGTAGGTAGCTGCCTTCTCATTGTATCTTCACACGGCAGAGAAAGAAGAGAGAGAGAGAGAGAGAGAGAGAAAGTTTTCTAGTGTCTCTTCTTATAAGGGCACTAGGATATCCCGTTCACAAGGGCTCCACTCTCATGAGCTAATCACCTCCCAAAGGCCCCCCCTCCAGATGCCATCACATTGGGAGTTAGGCTTTCAACCTATGGATTTTGGGGGGACTTTCAGTCCCTAGCACCCAGCACGGATGGGAAGACTGGCTCTGCCATTCACAAGCCGGAGGTCTTGGGGCATGCTCCTTAACCTGCCCAGGCCTCCACCGACTCACCCACAAAATGTGACTAAGAGCACCTTCCTCGGAAGCTGGCAAGGAACACGGAAGAAAACGCTTAGGATGTACTAGCATTGTGCATCGCACTCGCTGGTGCTCCATGAGGTCTCAGGGAGGGGTGCAGTCCAGGTATTTTCTGCGTAAAGATCTCCCTGGCTTTCTGGCAGCCGGTTTCTCTAAATCCCAGGAACTTGACACATTGAGAATTTTGCCTGGCTTCAATTTGGCCTCATCTTATCCCTGTGAGCTCTCTGGTGGGAAATATACTCCTCCTCGTCAGATGGAAAAGCCCATAAAAGGGAAAAGAAAAGCCGAGCCTCAGGCCTGAGAACAGAGCCTGTCCAGGTCCCGGGGCTCCGGGGATGAGGCTCCCCGGAACCTTCTGACCCTTGGCCACGCTGGCATTTGTCGACTTTACAGAAGAACTATTTTCCTATGACCCAGTGATTCATTTCTTGAGGGAAATTTTGTGATGCTTCTCTTTTGCCGTAGTCCAAACTTGAAGACATTAAAATAGAAAAAGAAAGTGAAGCTGAGAAGTTGATCCGACTTCACTTCCAAATGGAACAGATCGTCTACTGCCAAGACCAAGTTTACCGTGGTACGTTAAAGAAGATCAGAGAGATGGAATCCGAGGAAGAAAAGAAGAAAAAAGGAAACTATGCATACTTGGAAGGCACTGATGAAGATTCCTCCATGGCCGAAATCTTACAGCACCTGAACGCCTACCAGAAGGTAAGTCTGCGAGGGTCTCAGAAAGGTGGTTTTCATTTCTTTTCCTTTTCTGCTGAATGCCTCTCTCTTTAGTCTTATTGTCTCTGTAAGGGACAGCTCCATCAACCAGCTCCATCTTTCAGCCCTTTGTAAGCCTCCGTAGAAACAACTCAACCTCAGATAGATAAGAAGAGGTTATGGCTTGGAGCCACTTACATCTGGTTTTGACTGGCTGTGTGGCCCTTGCCGAGTTACTTAACCTCCCTGAGCCTCAGCTGCCTTCTCTATAAAATGGCATCTCCTCATAGGGTTCTTGTGACTATTCAGTGAGATGAGCGTGGGTAAATCCCTTGCATTGGAATGCAGTGGCAGCGCGCCACATAGAAGCTACTCATAGAGATGCATGCTTGGATTGCTACTGTACATTTCAGATAATGAGAAGGGCAATCTAATTCATCCTGAAGAGGGACGCACAACTCAGTTAGAGCTGTTGGGATATGTAAAAATCTGGACAAGTAAAGCAAACAGGAATCTCTTGGTTTATCAGATACCTCCATCACCTCACTATTTGGACGCGGAAGGCAGTGCTTCTCAAACTCGACCATGCACACAGATCCCCTGGGATCACGTCTTGTTTCTCCGTTTCTCCGTTCATCCATTCATCTGAATGGTGCTGCTCTGAACACGGCAGAGCAAACATCTGGGCTTCTACTTCTTTTTATGCAGAAATTTTCTGCCTCTTCTCCTTTGTTCCAGTTTCAGTATGAATTTTAGAATTAGCTTATCCAGATTCTTATGAGAAAAGAGAGCTGTTAGTATCCTTATTGCAATTACATTCCAATTCTAGGTCCGCATAGGAAGAACTGACACCTTTATGACATCAAATCTTCCTGTCCAAGAACATCATGGGTCTTTCCAATTTTAACATTGCCTTTTGGGGCCTTCAGAAATGTTTTAAGGTTCTTTTTTGTGTGTGTGTGAGGAAGATCAGCCCTGTGCTAACATCTGCCAATCCTCCTCTTTTTTTGCTGAGGAAGACTGGCCCTGGGCTAACATCCATGCCCGTCTTCCTCCAGTTTATATGGGACGCCGCCACAGCATGGCCTGCCAAGCGGTGCGTCGGTGCGCACCCGGGATCCGAACCGGCGAACCCCGGGCCGCTGCAGCGGAGCGCGCGCACTTAACCGCTTGTGCCACCGGGCCGGCCCCTAAGGTTCTTTTTATGTAGATTGTTCACGTTTCTGGAGTTTACTCCCACGTATTTTCTCATTTTTGTCCCCGCTATAAATGAGACTTTTCTTCCATTATATCTTGTGTTTGTTGTTAGTAGATATGATTTCTGTAAATTATTTTATACCCCTACTCATATTGATTCTCTTGTTTGTGGTAGTTTTACAGCTGATTCTCATGAGTTTTCCCGATGAACATCATCGCTTTGTAAATAGCAATTGCTCTACGCTCCCCTCCCCTTTCCAACTTTATGCCTCAAATTTCCTTTTCTTGCCTCATCTGGTCCCTTTAGTGCAACATGAAGCAATAGTGGCCCTAAGAGGCAGCCTTGTCTTGCCCCTGACTTTAATGAGAATGCCATTTTTCCCGATCAAGCATGATCTTCACTGGCTAAAATCAAGGTGTCAGAAGGGCTGAGTCCCTCCTTGAGGCTCTAGGGGTGAATCTGTCTCTTTGCCTCATCCAGCTTCTAGAGGCTTCCCACATTCCTTGGCTCGTGGCCCCTCCCTCCATCTCCACAGCCAGAGATGTTGCCTCTCTCCCACCTTCTTCCACAGTCAGTCTTCCTCTGCCTCCCTCCTTTGCATAGGGCGCACCAGATAATCCAGGATAATCTCCCTGTCTTCATGTCAGCTGATTAGCAACGTTAATTCCATCCGCAGCGTCAATTCCCCTTTGCCGTGTAAGGTGACACATTCGCAGATTCTGTGACGAGGACGTGCACGTCTTTGGAGCCATTACTCTCCTAAGCACACTCATCATTAAATGAGTTGGATTTCCCAGACTCAATGATTTGCACAATGTCCCTGTGGGCACTGGGGAAAGGGCCCAGGGGAGCTGGTTTTCACCACTCAAAAATTTCTTCTCAGCAACCAAAGAGATAGTTTCCTGCAAACATGTCTCGTCTGTGTGAGTCTTTGTGTGGCCCACCTCCTCAGCTCCCCAAACCCAACGCGGTTGGGAAGGACTCCCACCACCGGCCTTGCTCACTATGGAGATCTCCCTCTGACACCTGCTGCTCCCTCCCTACGCTTCCTCCATCCCCTCCTCCACATGGCTCAGCCTGACCACCACTGCTTTTGTTACACGTGGGTCCGAGGCTGTACATTACCTGTCTCCTACTTCCACCAAAACCCTTGATGTTTTGGATGATCTCCAGGAGAAGGAGAAATGACTTTTGCCACCATCTTCCTACCAGAAGTCTCAGAAGATGTTTTGGGTGCCTGGTGTTGTCACTCCAGATGTTAGCCATGCCTTTCAGCTTGTGTTCATTGTCCAGCATCGGACTTCAATGCTTGTGGCCCCCAGTGTCCCTCTTGAACGCCTCCTATCTGCCTGCTCCTTCTCTCCTTCCCTCCCTTTCCATTTGGTGACAGGCCATGTCCCTTGCTCACTCTCATCCTGGAACACGTAGCGTATGTGCCATCCCCATTTTACCGACTCTCTCAATTAACGTCCGCTGGGTGCTGATTCCATGCCTGGCATCTTTCTAAAATTTATCTTTTAGTTCTTTTAATCTTTCTAACTATTCCACAAGGCTAGGTGCTAATATTTCATAGAGAAGGGAAACCGAGGCACAGAGAGGTTGAGGAACTTGCTAAGGTTCCAGTATGTATCAGCTTCCTGGGAGATCAACCTATCTTAGGAAAGAAACTTTTCTCTAACAGATGGGGGTGGGGAGGGAGAAGGAAGGGTTGAGACTAACTTTCGACATGCGTAGAACTCAGAGGGCTCCTTTCTGTGGCTTTTGATAGCCCAGCCTCTTTTCTGCTAAATAATTTTCTTGTTGATGGAAAAAAAAGTCATAAAATCTTTTCGGCAGAGTTGTAAATAATTTGAAAACAGTTTTTGTACTCAGTCTGTCCATTTACCTTTTTAGCACACATTTTACCCTCTTCCATCAGAAGCAACCATTTCATCATCAGGAAAAGCTGGTGGGGATGCAGAGTCGAGGTCGGCCCTGACTCCTAGCTGGGGTGCTCTCTGCACCGTGCATAGTTCCTCGTTGCCTCTAGCACAGAGGATGCCGATGGGTTTGAAATGCAGGCAGGGGCCTTGCACCTTCAGGTCCAGATCCCTCCTGGTGCTCGTGTGGTGAGGGCGGAGTCTCCTCTTTGCAATGTCCCCTCAACCCTCTGTGAACTGTTCCTTCTTCCAGGAGGCCAGCAACCGCCTTTCCACCCACATCCCTTTGATCATCCAGTTCTTCGTCCTCCAAACATACGGCCAGCAGCTGCAGAAGTGCATGCTGCAGCTGCTGCAGGAGAAGGACACCTACGACTGGCTCCTGAAGGAGCGCAGTGACACCAGCGATAAGAGGAAGTTCCTGAAGGAGCGGCTTGCGCGGCTGACCCAGGCTCGGCGCCGGTTAGCCAAATTCCCCGGTTAAATCGGGCTCCCTGTCCCCGCCTCGCGTCTCCAGGCACGTCTCCAGGGAGCAGAGGTGCAGCGTCTTTCCCTGGCAGCCATGCCGTGGTTAGTTCCCCGTTGGCAGATACTCGAGTGGTTAGCAGTCAGACTTTGCGGTCCCTGTCTGTGCTTGTCGGTTAGTGGGCAAGGATGCAGTAAGAAGTTGTGATGAGCCATTTGGTTTCAAGCGTTGAGACTAAAGCCCCACCCTCCTGTAGCATATGATTTAGATTGGAGGAGCGATGCCATTTTCCTGGTTAGGAGGAATGATTTTCTACCCTCCGGATTGTTCCTCCTCCCCAAGGTCTCTCCATCTCTTTATCAGAGACAGATGTATGCGAAGCATCATAGAACAGTTATTTTCTGGTTTTTTGGAATGTATTTTCACGTGCCCAATGTTTTAGGAGCATTAATGCCACTTGTGTGAATGCTTGTAAAAGCCATATTACATCTATTTGTAATAAACTTGTTTCTCCTAGACATTTCTCTGACATTTTTCCTTTGGGGAGAAGCCTGGGAATGACAGCAGGTAGGAACCCGGTGAAGCACACGGTTGGGCCCTGACGCTGCCCTCGGTGGCTGGGCCAGGTAGGAACGAATGGGCTGAACGAAAGAACATGGTCTGGTTATTGACAAGAGGCTAAAGGGAAATGGGGAATAAGGTTACAAAAGGGAAACAGAGTGTGATGCTAACGGCATTAATTGTTTATAATGTGCACCAATCAAGTGTCCAACTTGTTTAATCACTGGGCGCCTGGCATGGAGTTGAGAAGATAAAGGCCCAAGTCGAGAGAGGTCCCCCAGCAGGATTTTGCAGGAGATGCTCTGGCTAGGCGATCTGGGAAGCAGAGGAGGTGGAATATTAACCAGGAATTGCCCCAGAGGAGCACGGCAGAGTCCCAACTGTTCTCCCTGGGGGGAGGACACTCGCAGACACCCAGCCACGGCCAGCTCAGGGCAGGAGACTGAACAATGGGCTGTGGCTGGGTGGGGTATGAAAGGACCTGCCACCGTGGCCTTTAAAATGAGAGTTGAAGCATCGCGATGCCAGAGCCCAGAGGAGAGAAGGCCAGGGGACAAGCCGAGAGATGCAGTGGGTACCGGGCCATGCCAAAGGGGAGGACCTGTGAGCGAATGCTCCCCAGGGGGATACATTCTACACAACCAACATGGGCAGCAGGGGCCCTTTCTATGGAGATGTCCAGACACGGAGTGGCTGCCTCAAGAGCTGTGCGCTCCCAGGCAGCGGAGGGCTTCGGGCCAAGGTGGACAACGACTCGTCAGGGCAGAGGTGGACTAGCTACACTGTCCCCTCCCCCCAGCCCCTCCCCCCTAGATCCCTTCTGACACTCAGGAGTCTATGAGCCTCAATGTTTTGGGACAATTTGAGAATTTATTCACGAGAGGGAATGCCAGGAGAGCAATGGGCATTCAGGTTCAAGTCCACACCCACTGTGGGGCCGCACCTTGATGCCTGTCCCAGGTGCCAGTGGCACACCTGCAGGTTGACTCAACTGCCAGGCGCTGCCTCTTGCAGGAGCCAGATTCGCCCATGCTTAAAGAAAATGCACAGGCTCTTGTAAGAGTCACTGTAAGCAAGCCATGCTCACGTTCCTAACCCAGTACTAGACGTGTGTCCCTTTAGATGTAGCCAGCTTTCACTTCCGTGCTGGGGAGCCATCAGAGGCAGGGCCCCTTCCTGAGCTGGTGCCCTCTCATGGCTGGCCTGAGTAACTTCTCCAGTACCAGCGTCCCTGCTGCCTATGGTAAGATTCTGCGGGGACCAGAATCAGTCAGAAGTGTCAGAGTTGCCAAGAGTTCTTTGCTGTTATTACAATTTCACTGGAGATTCCTAGAGAGAATGGAAGGATGGAGGAAGAAAGCCGATAGTATGTGCTCCAGAGAATGAGAATTTACCCTGGAGGTAGATCTGCTGGGGACTTGCAAGGTGCTCGTAATCCCTTACCTTTTGGCCAAAAAGAGCAGGTGTCTAGGGATCTCCCCGGCTTGTCCAGGGAGAATTGCACTGTCCCTCCTCCCAGGTGTCCAGGACTCAGGGACAGATGGCCCTGGAGACCAGTTTTTGTGATTCTTTCACTCGGAGGGCAGCCGGGCTCAGGCAAGGGGTTGAACTGCCCTGCCCTGTGCCCCCACTCCCTGTCCCCATGCCCCACCGTGAGCAGCAGCACAGGGTCAGAACCTTTGTCTCCAGATTCTGCTGCCTGATCTACAGCACTGGCTTGAAGGTCCATCTATCTGTGCAGAATAAGCTAGAATATCAGTGATGTCCGCTCACAGACCCTCCCTCCAGGCAAGTCTGGGGCTCAGCTGACCCCATAGGACGGGGCTCTGTTGGGAACAGAGTGAGGAGAGGAGCTGGATAGAATGAACTGACTTAAATAGAAAGCCTTGGTTTTCTAGAACACAGAGTCTGGCATGCTGCAGGTGCTTAATAAATGCTGTGGGCGACACTGGGCACTTGTTCAAATGACTCTCTGGATGTGTGACTGTCCTCTAAGATGCTGCAGAACACCTGCCTTTATTACCGTCCTTCTCAACCAGCCAGCCAGCAGAGTCCCCCAAAGTCCGCTCTTGTTTCGGAGGAAAGGAATCCCATCCGAGTGGCAGCTCCCCCACCAGGCGGCAATGAAAGCAGCAAGAGACAAGCTTTCGATCTGTCAGACCCCACTTTCATTTTCCCCCAAAGGAGAAACGGTCCTGGTGGTTGGGTGGGTTTTCAGATGGTTATAAGATTAGTCACTTCAAAGGGATGGCTCACACACCAATATTTACGGGGCTAATTCATTTAATGAGGTAGCTTTTATAGGAGTGATTTTTTTTTTTAAGTGTTGCTTTAGAAGTGGCATAAATTCCAGCACTTCCCTTAAAACATTGGGTGCCCTGGGAGAATGCACTCTGGCGTGCAGGGTGTCATCTCACTACCTCACCCTCCCTCGGGGTCTGAAGCAGCAAAGGGCTGTGGCTGGGGGATCGGATTCCAACCAGGGGTGTATGGGCTCTTTACAAAGTCAGGCCCCAGGATGAAGCCTTGGTTGGAAGGAAAAAAGGCTCTGAAACTGGCCGGCATCCGGTAAGCCACAGCACAACAGAGAGAAAGACGTAGGAACAGACCAAGGACCTGAGTTTAAGGCAGGATTGTGCCCCTAACAACTCAGCGAGAGGTGGTTCAAGGCGGGCATGCATTTCAATGCCAGAAACTCTCCTGCTGACCCGGCTGCAAGGAGCAAAAAATGATCAGCACAAATTACTCACTTTTATTAATACTCATGTTTCCACTTTACTGTAATTAGTATTTTGTAAATGGATTTTTCTTTTTGGTTTATATGTATATATATATATATATATATATATATATATATACACACACACACTCAGGTCTTTTTTTATAAAGGTTTAAATACAAAAATAACAGTATTTCCCTAGTCTCAGCATTCTGGCTAGATCTTTTAAGTGAAATCAGTCTCATCCAAAAGTAAAACCATTCACCTAGTGACTCCAATGTGAAAAATATAACTGAAAAGATTGTCAACTGCCTTGCCCACACGGACATTTTCGGTAGATGGTCGATTGTCACTATTTGCAGATCCCTTATTTGTGAATTTACCTACGAGCTAAAATTTACCTGTAACCCCAAAATCAATACTAGCAGCGCTTTGGGGACACGTGCAGAGTGGCAAAAAACTTTTAAGTCTCTCTACACGCACATTCTCAGCTGGGGAGCAAGGCAACACTCTGCTTTCCTGTTTCAGCTCCCATACTGCAAACAGGGGTCCTTTTCATAGTCCATTTAATGCCCTGTTTTCAGCATTTTTGTGATTTTTGCTGGTGATCCCGATGTTTAAAATGGCCCTGCGCGTAGTGGGAAAGTGCTGTCTCGTGTCCTGAGGGCAAAAAGGCTGTGATGTGCCTTCCAGAGAAGATACATGTGCTGGACAAGCTTCCTTCAGGAGCAAGTTACAGGGCTGTTGGCTGTGAGTTCAATGTTAATGCATCAACAGTATACATCAATAAGGTGTCCTTAAACAGAAACACACCCAAAATAAGGTTACATATTAATCGGTTGACAAAGACTGGGGCTCACAGGCACCTGATCCTGTTTGTCCCCTGGGAACAATGACTGAGTATTTATTAATTCAGTGTTCACGACTTTGTAGAACATAATTACCATGAATAACGAGAATCAACTGTATTTAAGGATATTGTCTAACAAAAATGTGTACTTTCCTTACTTTTTTTAAATCACAACTTTTTCCATAATTTTGACACATCTTGACATAATGAAGACAGACACAGTCATTTTCTCCAATCACCTGGCATAGACGTAGACCCTCTTGGATTGGCAGAATGCAAAGAATGAGAATGGATTTCTGCTTTCAGGCAGGGAAAAAACCCAATGTTTCCTGCCACCTGCAGTCACACCACGGGGCACGGGGATACATGCCTGTTGAGGGAGCATTCTGCCACCAGGAACCAGCAGGGACTCCAGAAAGACAGCTTTAGGGGACGAGATACTGGACTCAGTTTTGGACAGGCTGCATCTGAGGACGGGGCAGGAGGTCTGGAAGAGACGTGGGTCTTAGGGTCTGGATCTGGGAGAAGCGGGAGCCACAAGCGACGCCCATTCAGAGCCACCCATGGGTCGCCTCTGACAGGAAGGCTGCAAGAGGTGCTGGACCAGCCAGGCGATGGCCCCTGCCAGCCCCCATGCCCCACCTCGGTCCCCTGACTGGCACCCTCGCCCCTGCCTCAGCCACGCAGCAGCTGCCCCAGCATCACCACTCTGCAGGGAAATGCACACTGGTTCTGCTCTCCATGCAGCTCTCCAAAGACTCCACCAACATTTTGAAAAAAAAAAAAAAATGCATAATTTATTTGTACAATATTTCACAATTGAATTTTACAGTTTATAAAAGATACAAAACAGAAGACGCACGGGGGTCACATAAATAAAAAGAAGCTCTGAAGAAGGAACACAGTCTCGCTGTGACAACGCTTTTTAAGATCCGGCTCTGGGAGTGGGCATCTGGCAGTGCCGTGGAGGGCCCTCAGGGATGCAGCTGCCACGGAGGCAGGTGGAGTGAGAGCATCCTGTGAAGGGACTGGACCACCTCCCATTTCAAGCTGAGGTCCCAGCGGTAGAATCATTCATTTCATTGTTGGAAACCCGTGTGCTTGAGAAGAGGCGGGGCCTCGGGGCAAGCAGATCTCACAGCAGAAGCACTGACGCTTCACACTTGGCAATTCCAGCGTGGTCCTCCCCTCCGGGCGAAACCTGAGGGGCTGGAAGGGGCCACAGGGAGTCCAAAATACACCTCTCTTCTCCGTCGCAAGCACGGGTGCCATTCTCGTTTACAGAACATTCAACTGGGAGCCAGTCGCTTTGTAGAGCTCAAGTCAGCCACTGCTTACACTCGGCAAGCAGAGCAAGAGTTTCAGAGCCAAATGCAGGAACGACTTAGGGGTAGCGCAGCCGAGCTCCCAGGAGCACTGAGGTAGTAACTTGTAGAAACATGACAAGAAACAGTGTATCGTCAAGCCCACATCCCTGATTTCCCCAGGCCATCTCAATTCCCAGGTGACTAGGAGGTCCCCTTGCGAGGACCACGGGGGTGTGCACAATCTCCAAGAAGGCGGGAAGAGGGGCAGGAGGAGAGCGGGGAGTAAGGCTGGGTCTCCCTGGGCGGAGCCCCATCCAACGCACAGTGGCCACCTGACCCAGCCATGCACAGGGGTGAGCACGGCAGCAGTGGCTTCTCCTGCTCCCAGGGCTCCACGTACACTCTCACCCCACAAGAAGAAAAAGAGGTTTGAGATGTCCTTACAAGTGACTATCAAGTCATCACCCATAAAAGGCTGGTCCCTTTATTTCCAGCCACCATCAGGGCTGCTAAGAAGGTAGTAAAAAGGATCAGCGAAAACCCTTGAGGAGAAACAGGCCCTGGGGCTGCCCGGGGGCCCTGCAGGTCCCATCTGGCCTCTCTCTTTCCATCTCAAGCCGTCCAGCAGCTGAGAAGTCACCATCCCTATGAGCATCCAAAAATAGCCCCCAGAACAGGCTCAGAAGGAAGATCCCCCGGGGGCAGACTGCAACCCTCTGCTCTGCATTGGCCCTGGATGCCACACCCAGCCGGGCCGGTCACTCCTTTCAGACAAGGAGTCAGGGAGTGTGGGCCTGGGGAGGAGCCACTGTGGCCTGCACAGAACTGTGGGGAGGGCCAAGGACAGATAGGTTCACTATTTAATAAAAATGAGACGATCTTTGAATCATTGCTAAAAATACATTATGCACAGGGAATTAAAAACCGGCCCCTTCATTTTCTTGTGGAACAAGGACAGCATCAAGGACAAAGGCCATATGGGTTAGCTGTTTGCCTGTTCAAAAAGGAAAAAGAAACGATGTTATTTTCTTAAGACAAACAAAGGCAGACAATTATTTTTTCCCCTAAATTGACACGAGGCCCTTATACCCACAAGAGCAAGCTCAATAGGACAGAGGGATGTGTTGTCCTATAGCGTGAAGGTCAAGGTTAGAGGCTGACAGTGGAAGGGAAGGCGTCAGGTGGACAGAGCAGCGGTGGCAAAGGCCTGGAGGGAGGAAGGAGAACAGGGTGTGTGGGAATCACGTGGTTTAGCACAGCGTTGTCTGGGAAAATCAAGCTTGACCTCAGCCACTGAAATCATCAAGTGTTTAATGAGTGCTTGCTTTCCACCCCACTATCTCTCCTGCACTCCACGCTCTGGCCATGCTGAGCCACTGGCAGCTCCCTAATCACACCGTGCTCGCCTGTTCTCTCACGTCCCAGAGAGACAGCGCACCCCTTGGCCCGGCTCACCTCCCTCCAAGTGTCAGGAGCACCTTCCCCCCCCCGGCACACCCCAGCCCCACCAGCTTTCCTCCACCACGCAGCCCCCAACAGGACAGCTGGGTTGTCCATCTCCGGCACCCGGCCCTTTGCCACTTGAGGACTGGCCTACCCCTGTGGTCACTGGAAAGTATTAGTTCTCATGGTTCCATTTGGGGGAGACACGGGCCAGCCTTGTTGGGCGATGCCCTCTGGTTCTGCCCCGCCCTCTACAGACCGGGTACCTTTGGAGACTTGAGAGGAGACAAAATAGAAGGCACCAGGAGCCCAGCCTTAGAAGCGGCAGAAATCTGTGAAAACTGCCAGTCCTGAGGGCCCTGAGATGCAGAGAGATCTAGTTCTCACCCAAGATGTAGGCAGTGCCCGAGGAAAGGGCTCTGCTGAGCACCGCAGGTCAGGCTGGGAGTCTGAGAGGGCAGGGTTGCAGGGCACTCCTGGGTCTTTCCCGTCTTCACAGCCTTTCCTTTTACCAGAGAAGCCCGGCTACTTCTCCACCCCATGGCACACTCAATGGGCCAGAGAAGGAGAGGGCACAGTCGTGAGTCGACTGGCTGATTTGCCTCCCTCTGCTCTCTGCCCATCGCCAAAAGTTTGACTCCATGAGGTCTGGGTGGGTTATCAGTGCCAGTTGAGCCAGAACTAGGTGTGGTCAGCAGAACACAAGGAAGCCCATATATAGTTAGCTCTGAACCCTGCGAAGCGGAGCCCCAGATTTTTTCATCCAAGCACCACTGGGCAACGTCTGGGCTCTGACGCCACAAGTCAGAGAAGTCAATCAGAAGTCAGAGAAGTCAATCAGAGAGAGGACGGGAGAGTTACCCTCATCTGTTGGTAAATCCAGTCTGTGAATACTGTCACGTTTCCGTACACTCCTGGTCTGTTAACCTTGGCACATCCAGATCCCCAGCTTGTGTCCCCAATCAGCCACCAGATGCTGCTCTTCAACGCTACCAGAGGACCTCCACTGTCACCCTGGGGGACACAGCAAGTTACAGAGTTCAAACAACTCGCGCACTCTATTGACCGTGCAGAGAGGGTAGGGGTCGGGGCGGGGGTCTCGGTGGAGGTTAGGAGCCGGTGTGTGGGTTCCATATCTCCTCCAATGAGATAACAGAAATACAATCCCAAAAAGAGACTACACCAGCAACAAATTTTAGTCCACATCAGCTAAGAGTTACCAAATAAATTGTTGTTCTTATTTTAAAATAGTCAAAATCCTCATTTCTGTTCCACCAACACTTGGACAAAATAAAAGCCTTTGTGAGGAAGCAGTGGCATGCGGGTGGTGTTGGTCAGTACAAAATGCTCTCACGCCGTCAGGGGCCATCACTTCCTACAGCTGCACCAGGGCTGGCGCGGCGTCCCAGGGACATGGAACCCTTGTTGGGGGAGAGGGGGTTCTCCTCATTGACTCAGGGGAGCTAGTCGAGGCCCAAGGGTTGAATAAGAACTTGCAATTACCTGGCAGGAATCGATGCCTCCCTGCAGATAGCCTGCACAGATCATGGTGGACGTGATCAGGCCATTGTAGACATACATGTTGTTACATTCCGAGGGCTCAATCAGGGGCACCATGGCGGCGTTCAGCATGTCCGAGGTTTTCCCTAAGACAGAGGATACCATCGAGCTGTCAGTGCTGCCGGCAGCTCTCACTGGAAGAGGGGGACTCCCTCCGGAGACGTGCCACTGGACAGGTGGCCATGTCCCCTCCCTTTCCTCTCTTCTTCTCCCAAGCCCTCTCCTGGGGAACCTGGATTATCTTACAACTGGCGGGGCCTGTGTTTAATGCAGCTCTAGAGTTCAGTTGCAAGGAAAAGACTTCCTGTCTCTGGAGCTGTGGAACTCCATCTGCGTTCCAGAATCATCCTCTCTCATCACCCAGCCACTTGGTGCTATTGGATCAATTTTCCTCGTTTATCGCTCTCTCTTCACTGGACCATTCCCGGAGCACCCAAGGGGCTCCTGCCTCATAAACCGACCTTTCTTCACCCCGCACGATCCTCCATACACTGCCTCACTTCTCGGCTCCCCTACACCTTAAAACTCCTCTAAACAATTATCAGCACTTGTTCTCTCTACTTCTTCCCTCCCATCTTGCATCCTCCACTTGGATGTCTTCTAGGCACCACGGGATTAATGTGCTAAAACAGAACCCGTCATCGCGCACTTCTCCATTCTAATCCTCACCACCCCATATTCCCTGGCTCAGGAAATGGCACCACCACCCACCCTGGGGCTCAGATCACAAAGCTGGAAGCCCTCCTCCCTTGATTTCTCACTTTCCTGCCCGCCAACATTCAATCCATCAACAGATCTGGTGGCTCCATCCCAAATCTGCCCGGTCTCTCCACCTCCACGCCCACCATCCTGAGCCGCCATCTTGTCACAAAGGACCACAGCAACGATCCCCTTGCTGTTGTGTTCTGAATACTCTCGCCCCCACCCTTTCCGTGACTGCCCACACAGCCATCAGATCATGTCACTCTCTTGCTTAAAACCTCCTGACTGCTCCCTCTCTCACAGGGAATAGAAGCCAGTGCCCTCACCATAGCCTATGAGGCCCAAAACAATCTGGCCCCAGCCTACCCCCTCACCCCCGGCTCACCATCCTCCAGTCACACTGGCCCTTCTGTTTCTTAAACATGCTTGTCATTCAGATCTCAGCTCAAACGTCACCTCTTCCAAGAAGCCCTCCCTGACTACTCCAGCTATCACAACCATCTGCTGTATGAAAGTACCTAGTTCAGTCATTTGTCTGACCACTCCCTGGCCCCAGACACCCACAGAAGTAGGTGAACTTCCTGAGGGCAGAGCTCTGTCTTATCTGTTCGTTGCTGCGTTCTCAGCCTGTCGTAGGTGCTCCACAAATACCCGCTGATTTTCCCTTTCGTCTTGGCTGCTGTGAAGGCTTGCTCACAACCGTAAGGTTCAACCTCGGTAACTTACTTTAGACTAGATGCCAGGAGGTCCACCCCCGCCTCTCTCTCCCCACACCACGTGGTCTTTGTACTTTTCACCTTGGTTTACAGGGTGACTATGTGCGCCCTAAGCACTTCCTGGAAGAAGGATGTAAACAATATATAAGATGCTTCTTTGTACCACTCAGCACTTCCACACTCCAGAAAAATGAAACAGCCAGGACCCCTTTATTTGAAAAATATTCTGGGAGATGAAAGCCAATTAGAACTGAACGAAGCTGAGTAGGCCTGCCCCAGGGGAGTCTAATTCCTCCTCCGTCTCTGCGGTGTCAGGGCAGAAGGACGAACGCCTGGACAGCACACAGCTGGCCCTCCCGGGTCACGAGGGCCGTCCTCACGAGTCTGTTATCCCTCAGCCATCAAAGGGCAGGCGGAATTCCAGGGCAGCCCATTGGCAGCAACAGGATGCAAACACAGAGCGACTGCAGAGCCCTCACATCTATATGGCCCTTATAGTTCAACAAGCAGTTTCCATACACTGTTCCATTTGACCTTAATACGAACCCTGTCTTAGGCAGGGCAGGTACGATTTTTCCCATTTAGCAGATGTGAAAACTGAGGCACGAAGACTGGGTGATTTGCCCAAAGTCATCCAATCACTCAGTAGTAGAACCAGGACTAAAACCTGACTCTCCCCTTCCGAACCTAGTGCTATGTTCCGGGGGACCTGCAGACCCGCGTGCCCAGGAGCCTCACCTTTCTCGTAGGTGGCGCCCCACCCGGAAATCCAGCAGGACTGTGTCGGCTCCAGCATCATGCCCGGGTTGGGCAGACACACTGGTTTCACTCTGTCTGTTTCAAGAAGAGAAAACACTGTAAGCTGGTCTGGCGTAACGGAAGGCCTGCGGTGACGGTCTCCACCGGGACCTTCCCCACGTGGCATCCCTGAGCCTGGTATCACCACCACCCTGCCCAAGGAAAATTCCAGATGCCAACGTGTCCTGGCAGTCCCACTTTCTGCCCCTGCCAGGCCCCTCCTTCTAACAGGCAAGACGTTCCTTTCCGAAGTTATGCTACCTATAAATGGAATTATTTGCTAACTCTGCTTCTGAAAAATGCATAATTAACTTTTTTTCAAAGTTAAATCTTCAAAAAGTAGAAATTAAAAATACACAAGCTCCAGGTGACAGAGGGTAGGGAAGACACACACGTGGGCACTTCCAGCTCGCACCTTGGAGGCCGGTGTTGGATACGACCTCCATAGACCGGTTCTTCTATCTTTAAATTGCTTCCCCAACTTGAATGCAAACACCTCGAGGAAAAGGATGAGGTTTTGCTTCTTCTGTATGCATGTGGGGCTGGAACATTCCAGCCCCTCGGATGGACTAGATCGAGGCCCAGATAAGAGGCTAAGGGAAATCATGTTTGTTGTTTTATTGTTTTAAATTGTTATTATTTCAAAGTATCTTATTTTCAGAATTTATGTGAAAAACTGAAGTATCTTTACAAATTATAGACCAGTAGTTCTGAACTGGAGGCAATTTTGCCCCCAGGGGACGTCTAGCCATGTCTGGAGACATCTTGCTTGCCACAACTAGGGGGGTGCTCCCAGCATCTACGGGATGGAGGCCAGGGATACTGCTCAACATCCTACAACGCACAGGACAGATCCCCCAAACAGAGAAGGCCCTGGCTCCAGATGTCAATAGTGCTGTGGGTGCGAAACCCTTTCTAGACTCTCACATATTTTCATTAACTCGTCACTCTGTACAGTGGAGGGAAAGCACGAGGGTTACTGCTTCCCTCAACACACCCCAGGCACATTTTCTGGTGACCAGGCCTCTGCTGAGCCCTCTTATATCAGCCAACCCTCCTGCATGCCACCCTAACTCAGCGTGAATTCCTTCCTTCTGTTTGTCACGGAACGAGTTTTATTTCCAGTCGACCTCTCCTTAAAATCTGGTCAGAATTGTTCACACGGCCTGAGCCACACAAACAAAGATAGGTACCGTTAAAAGTCAGAGGTGTCTGCAGCTTCATAAGAGCGATGTCATTGTTCTTGGTGTTGGAGTCATAATCTGGATGAGAAATCACCTTTTCTATTCTGTATCCATCACCATAGACCATGAAAGATTGGCTCAAAATGCCTGCAAAGGCGGTCCAATACCGCGGGTTGTTAAGCGGGCTGGAAGATAAAGATGAATGCCACTCAGCATCTCAGAACCACAGAGACAACACACTCATTCTGAGGATCTCCAAAAGACGTAAGCCAGAGCCACGGGCCCCAGAGGTGACACAAATCACCAAGAGCCACACGGCACGACTAGCCAGGAGGTGGCTCAGGCTCCTCTCTCTCCCTCCCTCGTCGCAGCCTCATCCCCTCACACCATCCCTCTTCCAACCTCTTGCTTTGAATCCTGTCTCTCCTGGGCTTCTGCACCAGCCCACAAACCTTTGCAATCCCAAGAACACTTTTTCTTGGGCCAAAATGCCTCCCTGAGGTTTCAAACCCATTTCTGGCAGGACCGGGTCTTACTTACCCTTATATGCTGGAGCATTACCTGGCACACGGTAGGTGCTTAATAAATGTGTAGTGATCAACAGACTCTGGGTCTAAAAGCCATCAAGGCATCATTTTATCGGGATGTTTCCCTTTAAGAGAATCCCCAATCCTCCAGCGCCATCAGAACCCGGTGGATGGAAGGCAGGGAGCACCCTTGGGTAATAAACACTGCCTCCTTCCACTGTCACAGCGGCCCTCGTGAGGAGCAGGCACACCTGTCCTACAGGTGCAGACACTACGGTCAGACACCTCGAGTGGACTGTCCGAGGCCACACAGCCGAGAATGGCCGGGCCAGGAGGCGAGCCAGGCCTGGCCACACTCTAAACCAGAGAAACAGCTCTGATAAGTGAGGTTTCCTCCAAAACAGGCATGTCACCAAAAACCTCTATGTTTAAGAACAAAGGAGGGGAGACGATATCTTCCACAAAAGCTAAGGCTATAAATGACTACACCCTCGCCCCTCTTTCCCCATCTGTGTGGGCAACGCTGCAGCCAAGGACACTTAACTGGGGGCCACAAAGAACCTTCTGGCAGGGCAGGGTGAGTGTGTCTGAGTTGCTGGGGACGAGCATCCAGGAGGGACCAGCCCTCCCAAGATGGCAGGGGCTTCAAGAGGGGTGGGACAGAGCTGAGAAGACAGCAGGCCAAAGGAGTTCTCAGTCCACACTGCCTCCCTGGGCCCAGAACTCTGCATGCAGTAGACGCCCAATGCTTACCCACTGGAGGGGTGGGCTTGGCCCACACTTTATGTGCATTAGCTCCCCTGAAACGTGTGCCATTAGAACCCCCACTTATACATAAGAAAACCAGAGACTGAAGAGGTCAAAGACTTGACTCAAGGTCACCTGGCCACAGACCCCCCTCCAAACCCAGAAGCCCTCGGCCCCGGGCCCGCCCCCGCCGTGGACCTACTCCTCCACGCAGTGGGCGGCAGTCACGATCCACTCGGCGGTGATGATGGAGCCTCCGCAGACGTGGACGCCCTGGATGTGCAGGCTGACCTGCCAGGGCCACTCTCCCTGGGCGGCGTTGTTCCCACCCACGATCCGGCTCTGGTGGCTCTTCGAGGAGACCCCGCACTCTGAAGGCGACAGGCACAACCTGTGAGCAGGAGCAGGGCCGCCCTGCCCCACCCGACGCCTGCCCCACTCCTGCCCGCAGCACGCTCCCAGACGGCTCCCCTCCCAGAGGTCCTGCCAGGCTGGTGGGCGACTGTAGCCACCTCTTGTTCCCGTCTGTTTGGGGTCTGACTTTGAGAGGACGTGTCCTGGTCTCTTTTCGGCTGGGGGGAGGAGAGGATGCTCCTCCAGTCCCTCTGAGATCCCAGGAAGCACCACTTCTGCTGGCACCGTGTGATTCCAGATACCCAGGTGGGCATCCTGGATAACAAGGCCCTGGGATCTCCTTGAGTCCTGGAGGGACTGAATGCTCAAGGGCCCCAAGATTCCCCAACAAAGGAAAGGAGGGCTTTCCTCATGTGGGTGGGAGGCATGGGTCAGAGGGCGGGGCGGGCATCATGCTGTCTTGGTACCTAAAGAAGCTTGAGTGGAGCCTGGTTGGGAAGCTACTGCGGGACCACGGGGACATGTCACCCACTCAGGAGCGTCTGCCAGCTTCACGGCTTCAAACTGAAAAGCTGAGCTTCAGGACCAAGAGCGGTATGGGAACAAGACTGGGTCGTCCCAGAGAAGGGAGCAGGGGGACGATGCTTTCCACATTGATAAAAGGTTTGCAAACTATGAGTCACCCAAACACAGGGACGGGGATACCCACAGGGCCTCCAGCTCCACCTGGGGTGGGGCGCAAGAGTGGGGCCCCGTCAGCCTCTTGGGCTTGTCTGTCCTCCGTGGGACGGCTGCTTCTTGGACCCAAGGCTGAAGGCATCTAAAGTACATCAAATTCAAGAAAGGAGCTCCTTGGGCAGAGCTGAGGTGCCGAGAGGGCACGAGGCTTTTGGGCACATCTCAACCCATTACCCCAGCTCCTTTCTCTCCCCACATCCCCCTAACACATAGGGGAATGAGCCTCTGAAGGTACAGAATGTTTCCTATTTAGAAGCACAAAAACGAAAACCAAGAATCACTTACCTATACAGCGTAAAGAAACCACTGTTTTTGAAGAACAGACATCACTGTAAAAGAAGAGGGAAAATTCTGGTCACAATGAGGAGACACTTGACTCTCAAAATACTTAGAAATGGGGGGCCGGCCCAGTGGTGTAGTGGTTAAGTTCCCGTGTTCTGCTTCAGCGGCCCGGGGTTCGCCGGTTCAGATCCTGGGCAGACCTATGCGCTGCTCATCAAGCCATGCTGAGGAGGTGTCCCACGTAGAGCAACTAGAAGGATGTACAACTACGACTTACAACTGTCTACTGGGGCTTTGGGGAGAAAAAAGGAAAAAAGGAGGAAGAAGGGCAACAGATGTTAGTGTAGGGCCAATCTTCCTCAAAAAAGAAAAACTTAGAAATGAATATTTTCTTCCAATGTTCTCACTCCCCTGCCTCCCCAGATGTAGAAGGGTCCATGATTAAAGATTCAAATAAGGAAAGTAAATCTATATGGGGACAGTGGTAAAGAGCAGACACTAAGTCAAAGTACAAGGTTCAAATCCCAGCTGGGTGACGTTGCACAAGTTACTTAACCTCTCTGTTTCCTCATCTGCAGAATGGGTTAATAAAGCACCAACTCATAGAGTGGTTGTGCGAGTAAGCACTCAATAATGTCTGCTGTTGTTTTTATTCTTGGAATTTAAAATCACCCTCTAATTTTGTAAGGAAGCCGTTTGTAAATTTTCAGTTTCCTATGACTGCTTTCCATGTATTGCACAGAAAACAATGTAATCATTTGCTCGGGGGCAGAAGAAAAGAAAAGTTGCTCATGTGGGAGGTAAACATTCGGGGTTCCAAATGAAAAAGAAATAACCAATGCATGCTGGTGTAGAGTGGATTTTCCCCCTAATACACTGAGGAGGAGAGAAGCATCCAGGCATTCATAGCTGGCCGTGTATTCCGTTGAACACAAACAATTTCACGGAGCATCAACACTGGGCCAGACCACTGTTACGTGATGGAGCAGGAGGCAAACCAGCCCCCTGCAGAATCCTGTCTGAACAGACCCTGAGCCTGGTCCAAACCACACAGTGACCAGCAGCCCCCTCTGCTGGCTAACACGAGGGACCGCGGCTTCTTTGCCAATCACAGCTGTAGGCTGGCTTCCTGCCACCCACCTTCTATCAAAAAAGCATGAAGACACCAGTCACAGATCACCCTCACTTCCTGACAGCATCCAATCCAGAGGAAACCCCCACTTCCCTGAACCTTCCCCAAATGACCCAACACGAGCCCGAGTCCTATAATAAGTCCCTTCCGATACCTTCCTTCTAAGATGCCCACGGTTCCAGGGACACGGTGTGTCCTAGTGGTCTTTGGCAGAGAGGCATTGGCAATGCCAAGAGAAGACACGTTCCCATTAAGAGAAGATGTTTTCCAAGAGTCATAAGGTCTATTCTCTACATGGAGGCACTGCTGTGCAGCCACCAGCACCTGGGCACACAGCGGTCACTCAGACGAGCCCCACTAGGAGCCGAGAGACTCAGGTATCAAAGGGCAACTTCTGAAAGCAAAGAGGAATGTCTTCTCACCCCCTCCACCCCCGACATATATACCGGACACTACCTGCCAGCGAATGACCTTCTCTTCTTTCCTCCAAACCCTGCAGCCACCTTGTGAGTTCCCGAGGCCCTTCTCCTCCCCTGCCCGGCCCTGATCCCCCTGTGTAACCAAGGGAGACAAAGAAACACTCGGCGTTTAGAAAGAGCCCAGGCAGCTGTGTTTAGCTTCTCGGCAGGCAAACCGCAGCCCTGCTGTTTTGATGGGCACACCTGGCTGTGCACACCCCTCCTCCTGGGATCACCCTGTCTCATTCCTGGGGACAGCCAGGCTCAGGGCGGTCGGGCAGAAGTCAGCGCCCCCTGACACCTCAGCTGGCGGCCACCAGGAATGCAAACGTGCTTCCGGCCTCCCACCCACGGGAAAGCAGGGGTGGCATGATTAGTTCATCCTCCCCTAAAACCTGAAGCACCTGGCATCTGGCCGGGAGGGACGTGATGGCTTGGCTAGCCACCTACGGATGAGTGGCAGGGACCTGGGAGCTGAGGATGGCTTTGTGCAAAGGACACTGTGTGTCTTTTACATTAAAGAACATTCAGATGATAATAATGATCCTAGGAAAACATTTTAAACATATGCAAAACAAATGAGTAGTATAAGCCCACCACTCTCTCCACCCTCCCAACCAGTTAAGCCATCAATCCTGGGACCTGTTGCTCAGGTTCATTTCCACACACTGGACACAAGTCAGCTGCAAGGTACAAGAAATGTTGGCTGAACTGAACTAGCCATTCCCTCCCAGACACTCAGAACACTGCCCACCCCTCGTATGGCATCCTCTGGTACTATGGCCTGGGGCCAAAGGACCAACCATCCCTGCTGCCTGGGACTGAGGGGATTCCTGGGAAGCGGGACTTCCAGTACTGAAATCTGCAAAGTCCCAGGCAACCAGGATGGTTGGTCACCCCAGATGGGACCCCGAGGTTCTCTTAGATTCCTAGAGATACACCGTGACACACAGGGGAGCACGTCTCTAATGTCTGGAGAGTAAAGAAAATCAATAAAGTAGATCTCAATGTTGCAGCGTTACCCAATACCAATGAGGGCAGAGGGCAGAGGGCAGAGGGCACAAATGAAAGGGCAGATAAACCTCAGCCGCTTCCCAACAATGAACCCAGAGCCACTCAGAGTGACCAGTCCTGCTCAGAGTCTGGTCTCCTCCAACTCGGGACGGTGATTCCCCATAGGGTCTTCTACTCATTCTCATCATAAAATATTTTAAAGGAGAAAAGAAATCAGCAAATACCTGTGGTACAGTTTTTTATAGAAATCCATACTGTTGGCACTTGTGTTCACCTTCATAAAGCTTGTGGCCCTGCTGTCGTCCACCACTCCTTGGCTGGAATAAAAACTATTCCTAAAAAGACAGAAAATATTATTTAAAATAATGGTTAAGCCACAAGAAATCACAGGTCCTATGTGATATCATAACACTTCTCATGTATGATTCTCAGGTTAAGAGGGGTATCTTAGCATTTTGGAAAACAAAATCCGAAGTTCTAATCAGGTGACATTGTGTTATCACCATCTTTCAGTCTGATAACCCAGAAGTGTCAGGTTAAAGTCCTCCATCAGTCGTGTTTCTAATCTAGTTTGGGTCAGGATAAAGAAACGATGAGAATGAGGATGTGTGAGCACATATAATCTAACAAAATTTACAGATGTTAAGTGTCTCCAATGATAAAATACAGTATTGGCGGCCGGCCCAGTGGCACAAGCAGTTAAGTGCACTTAACTTAACGTGCACTCTGCTGCGGCGGCCTGGGGTTCGCCGGTTCAAATCCCGGGCGCACACCAACGCACTGCTTGGCAAGCCATGCTGTGGCGGTGTCCCATATAAAGTGGAGGAAGATGGGCAGGGATGTTAGCCCAGGGCCAGTCTTCCTCAGCAAAAAAAGAAGAGGATGGGCAGATGTTAGCACAGGGCTGATCTCCTTACAAAAAAATAAAAAATAATAAAATACAGTATTTCACCAGCTAAGACACTAACTTTGTTATGGAGTGGTAATTCACTTTGAAAACTGGCATGTTCTATGCATTCTAGAATTGCATAGAAGTCACATGGGGGCACCCCAAGAAGAGAAGGTAAAATCACACGGCCTTTCCCCGTGAGGCCAGAGGGCTGCTCAGCTGTCCCCAGTGATGCTCTGGTGAGCCCCTGGCTGGGACACTCCCCCCTCCCTCTCCCACCATGCCAGCGGCTATAGGCAGGAATGAATTGTCTTATATATAAATCTGATGACCAATTCTCTCCTGCTCAAAAGTCTTCAATGCCTCCCCCATGCGGGCAGAGAAGGTCGTGCAGGATCTGTTCCCTCTGACCTCCCCCCCAAGCCCTCCCCAAGCGCCCCTCACCCCCAGCCCCCACCCAAGGAGGTGGGTGGAGTCATGGCCTCAATGCTGCCTGGAGCGTCCTCAGGAAGAGAGCCACCCAAGGCGCTCGGCCAGCACCCTGGACACTGACGACCGAGGCACTGGACGGTCCTGAGTAACCAGGAGTGGATGGAGGCCCAGGAGGAGGCAGGGCTGGGTGGCAGCCAGCCACGCTCACTAGACGCCGGGCACAAGTTCCACCTGCTGGTGTCCCGGCCCAGCTTAGAGAAGGAGACACCTGTCCAAGGCGTTCCTGTGCAGGCTCTTCCAGGGAGGGGCAGAGAGGAGCACTGATCTTTCTTAAGTTTCTGCTGCCCATCATGTCTTCATGGCCCCACACCCCACCCCTGGCGCCGAGGGCTCCAAGCTCACCCATAGCCCATGTCCTGGCAGGCGGCCCTCCCGTAGCTGTCACTCCAGTCGTCTCGACACACGGGGTGCCAGGAGTTCCTCTCAGGCGAGTACACCTGGAGGATGAAGTTTGGTCCGTAGAGGCGAACTGCATGAGGGAGAGTCTCCGTGAGTTCCAGACATTTGTTCTAGCTGCCCATGAGCCCCCTCCCCTGGACACAAAGGCTCGGGAAATGGTGGCACCAGGTTCCCTCTTCCCAATGCACTGACCACACAGGAGGGATGCTGTCAATCTATTCTTTCTCCGCTAAAAAGTGCTCTTTACCCCAAAGAGTTGAAAACAGGTATTCAGATGAAAACTTGCACACAAATGTTCATTAGCAGTGTAGTCACAATAGCCAAAAAGTGTAAACAAGCCAGCTGTCCATCAATGGATGGATGAACGAGATACGGTCTGTCCATACAAGGGAATATTATTCCGCCACAGCGGGGAATGAAGTACTGACACATCCTACAACACACGTGAGCCTTGAAGACGTGATGCTGAGTGAAAGGAACCAGATACAAAGGCCCGCATCCTGGATGATTCCATTTCTGTGAAATGTCTAGAGTAGGAAATCCATAGAGATAGAAATAGATTAGGGGTTACTTAGGGCCTGGGGTGGGGAGGTGCAGAAGGAGGGGTAAGGGGGGGGTTTCTCAAGGTTGCCTTATGAGATGATGGAAGTATTCTAAAACTGACTGTCGTGATGGCCGTATAGATCTGTGAGTATATAGAAACCATTGAAGTGTGCACTTAAAAAGATGAATTTTGGGGGCTGGCCTGGTGGTGTAGCAGTTAAGTTCATGCACTCCGCTTCGGTGGCCCGGGGTGTGCCAGTTGGGATCCTGGGCACAGACCAACGCACCGCTCATCAAGCCATGCTGAGGCGGCGTCCCACATGGAGCAACTAGAATGATGTACAACTATCTACTGGGGCTTTGGGGAGAAAAAAGGAAAAAATGAGGAAGATTGGCAACAGATGTTAGCTCAGGGCCAATCTTCCTCAAAAAAAAAAACAAAAAAGAATAAAAATTATTAAAAAAAGATGAATTTTATGGTATGTGAATTATATCTCAATAAAGCTATTTTTAAAAAACAATGAATAAGATAAAGTGTTTTCGAAAAGTGCTCTTTCAACAATCACTTTGTGACCCCCTCTTGCCCAAAGCCTGGACCCTGGCAGAGTGCCTGAGACATGCCGAGTCCCCTGGTGTAGGCTCTGCCACTAACTTTATCAAGTTTTTGCCAAAACAACCCCCTCTTTTGTTTAAAGAGATAAAACATTAAAGATACAGTTTAAGCCCCCTTCCTATTCTGTTCCCTTCTCTCTCTCCCTGGAGGTAACCACAATCCAGAGTTCTGAGAACTTCATCGTGTGGGAGAGCACATCAAGCGGCATATTCACAGAGCGGAATCCTACATGACTTGAGGATTAACCAGAGTGTTGTGTATTAACATGAACGATCTTGAAAACGGCATTGCATAAAAGAGGGCAAGTTGCTAAATGTTGTGTTCCATGTGACACTACTTATGTAAAGTCTAAAAGTATGCAAAACTGTGCTCTGTGGTTTTGGGGGAAATATAAGTGGTTTAAAGTATAAAATGAGGACCTGGTTACCTCAGACCTCATAGTCACCTCCTGTCTGTGGCTCCTGAGTCACTGGACTGTGCTGGACATCTCGGGGCTCATTCCTCCATGAAATGACCAGCCTTGGCCTGATTACTTCCTAGTGCTTCTGTGATGACTGGTTCCACATACCACGTGTGAGCTAGCCACATGTTAGGTGAGTGGATAAACAAACCATGGTCCATGTAGATAGTGGAATATTACTCAGTGCTAGAAAGAAATGAGCTATCAAGCCAGGAAAAGACATGCAGGAACCTTAAATGTATATTATGTAGTGAAAGAATCCAATCTGAAAAGGCTACCTACTGTATGATTCCAACTCTATGACATTCTAGAAAAGGCACAACTACAGAGAGAGTAAAATGATTGGGGTTGCCTGGGGCTGGGGGAGGAGGGATGACCAGGTGGAGCACAGAGGATTTTTAGGGCAGTGAAACTAATCTGTATGATCCTATAATGATGGATACACATTATTACACATTTGTCCAAACCTACTGTCCACATGTAAACATATTATACATTTTTCCATAACACCAAGGGTGAACTCTAATGTAACCTAAGGACTTTAGTTAATAATAATGTATCAGCATTGGCTCATCAATTGTAATGAACGTACCACATCTAATGCAAGATGTTAACAATAGGGGCAACTGTGTGCAGCGGGGGCTCATGGGAACACTGTACTATCTGCTCGATTTTCTGTGCATCTAACACTGCCCTAAAAATTAAAGTTTATTACATTTTTTAAAAAGTAACTGTAATTAAATATTTCCAAAAGTAAAACTAACACTGTGACATGGTAGAGAGTAAGGGAAACTTTTCATTCTTGATTTGTGGGTAATTTTAGGGATTTTTTTTCCTTCCACTCAAATGCTAACTAGGAAAAGATGTGAGTTGATGGTCCAGAGGGCTGGAAATGGTCTCATACAGTTCGTTTTTTTTTTTTTCTTTAAGTATTAAGAATTTTTTTCAGCTTTATTGAGGTATAATTGACAAATAAAAATTGTATATATTTAAGGTGTAAAACTTGGTGTTTTGATATATGTATACATTGTGGAATGATCACCACAATCAAGTTAATTAACATACCCATCACCTCATATAGTTACCATTTTCTTTTCTTTCCTTTTTTTGTGGTGAGAACACTTAAGATCTGCCCTCTTAGCAACTTTCAAGTGTACAAAACAGTATGTTAACCTCAAGCGGCCACAGAAAGCATAGAAACCGATGTAGGAAGTGAATTAATGTGAAGAATATATATGTATCCTTGGAAAGAAAGCTCTACACACATTCTTGAACGCTTTCTATGGGACGGGTGATGCTCATTAGTGTCAGAAGACGCGCATTTCAGTTAAAAAGAATTTCCACTCTACAAGGTGGTCAAACTAAAAGCACATCCCACGTGTGCTCTGATCTAATATAGAATACACGCACGATGTCACGTTCATCCACTTTGTTTCATGTGAATCATCAGTGTTGAAATTAGATAACACCAAATCAAGGAGGGACTAGCAAACCACAAATGCACAAACCCTCCGACCCAGCAATTATTCTTCTGGGACTGTTTCCTACCGATATGCTCACGTGCTTGAAGCATGCACGTTACAGCAGAAGGTGGGCAGAACATGAATGTCCACCAAGAAAGGTCTGGTTCAACAAGGGCACGTCCATACGAGGAACACCGAGTGTGCTGCAGAGGGGAAGGGGGAGATCGTGTCCCGACAGGAGATGATCTCCAGGACACATTCTCAAGGGCTGTGGAGTCAGCTGGATTCCCAGTAAGCATTGGGAAATGGAGGAATAAGAATGCAAACACATATTTGTTTTTTATGCAAAAACTCTCTGGAAGGAGAAGCAAGAAACTCATATTTGCCACTAAGAAAAAAATGTGATTGGCTGGTGAAGATGTGTGTGTGTGTGAGTGTGCAAATGTGTGAGGGTGTGTGTGTGTATATGAGAGTCTGTGGTGTGTGAGTGTGTATATGAGTGTGGGGGGTGTGTGTGTATGTGAGAGTGTGCGGTGTGTGTGTGTGAGTGTGTATATGAGTATGGGGGTGTGTATGTGTGTATATGAGAGTGAGTGTATATATGAGTGTGTGGATGTGTATATGTGTGTGCATATGAGTGTGTGTGTGTGAGTTAGAAAAACAACCCAGTGCTTTCCTCCTCCTGGTGTCTTTGTTTCTTGTGTGTCTCCTTTTCTCCTCACACAGAATGCTTCACTTCTGGTCACAAATGTGTGGGGGTTTTCCTCACACCAAGCAACTCTCCACGACACCAGCTGGGGGTCCTACAATTTAATTATGATGCTGTTTATCTGGAGACAGCATCAGATCCCACAGGTTAAGGGCTCAGTCCCACAAGACTGCGCCCCATTCAGACACCAGTCGCAAGTCCAGGTTGTCACCCGTGCTTCTGACCGACTGGCTATAAACCAGAGGTCCCCTGACCCCTTTCTCAGGTTTGATTTATTTGCTAGAGTGGCTCACAGAACTCAGGGAAACAGTTTACTTACGTTTACCCATTTATTATAAAAGGATATGATCAAGGCTACAGATGAACACCCAGATGGAAGAGATGTGCAGGGCAAGGCATGTGGGGAGGTGGCGGAGCTTCCATGTCCCCTCCGGGGATGCAGCTCTCCCAGCACCCCCTGTCTCCCTGTGTTGTGTTCACCAACCCGGAAGCTCTCTGACCCCTGTACTGCTGTACTGGGATTTTACGGAGGCCTCATCACGTAGGCATGATCAATCATTAACTCCATTTCCACCACTTCTCCTTTTTCAACAGAATGGGGGGCGGGGCTGAGAATTACAAGCTTCTCATCATGGCTTGGTCTTTCTGGTCACCAGCCCCCATCCAGGAGCCCACCCAGAGTCGGCTCATTAGAGCAGAAGATGCTCCTGTCACCCAGGAAATTACAGGGGTTTAGGAGCCCTGTGTCAGGAACTGGGGTCATAGGCCAGATATTAGAAACAAAGGTGCCCCTAGTGTCCTTATCACTTGGGAAATTCCAAGGGTTTCAGGAGCTTTGTGCCAGGAATCAGGGGCAGAGATTAACATGTATTTTCTATTATCTCACAGTGTGAGTGTATATATGTGTGCGTATGTGAGCGTGTGTGAGATGTGAATGTGTGGGGCGTGAGTGTGTATACGAGAGTGTGTGCGTGTAAGTGGAGTGGGGGAGATGAGATTTTTCCCTGCATACCCTTTGGTACTTCCTGAATGTTGACCTACTTGAGCATATTAACTCTTAAAGCATTTAAATAAATACAACTTCAATATTAAGAAGAAAGAGAGAGAGAGACTCTCCAGGTACCAAAAGGAGTTTGTCTTGCTAGAGTTTATTCACGCGCGCAGGAAAACATTAAAAGCCATTCCATCTCATACCGTAACTACACTTGCTCAACTTCAAAAGTGCCCTGTTATATTTAAGAAAATAATGACAAATATATTAAGACCAAAAGAAAGGCAAGGCACTATGTGGAAAGTTTAAAGAGTGGGTGAGTCACTTCCAAGTGCAAACACTCCCCAGGAAGCTCCCTACGGCCCGAGGCTGTGCCATAGGAGCCCGCAGGACAGAGACCAAGCAGCGACCCACAGGCACAGGTGCAACCCCGGGGCCCCGGCTTCCTCACCGAGGAATCCCACAAGCCGGGACCAACAATCCACCTCACACAGGTGCACGACCTGGAAACGAGGATGTGCAGGCAGACAAACCTCACCAAGGAGGGCCCACAGGAGAAGACAGGTCACCAGGAAGCAGAACACTGTTTTTCTCCAGCACTAACTGCATGAAAAGTTATCAGCTCGCAGAGGACGCAACAGGGGGATGGAGATGAGAGCTAATGAGCACAGCTTTCGTAGTCAAGCATCATTTTCCCTGTTACCAGCCCCTTACCAACCTTGAAATCACCTTCAAAAATTAATAGAAAATAATGAAAGCAAGTCCAGTGCCAGCTCTGTGACGGCAGACGCATACGACTATAAGGCAGCTTGTTTTGAAAATAACACAGTGCACTCCCAGCTTCACATTTTCAACAGTTTGCTCGTTTTAATTGCCGTGCGGGGACGTCCTGTGGTGGTTGGGCCCTGTGGTCTCCCTCCCGCCCGCTGTGTGATGCTGAACCAGGAGCACATCCCCTCTGAGCCCGTCTCCTTATCTGAAAATTAGGGTTGGACCCAAGGCTCAGCCTCCAGGTAGGGATTCAATAATGTGATGGATTGACGTGCCAGACACAGGCCTAGCACCATCATGGCCCACACCGGCCGTGGTCTCCATGGTGACACTGGGAGTCCAGGCACCCAGGGCCAGGTGCACAGTCCCTCCAGCACAGCTCTGCACGCACAGCCCGAGACTCACCGCACCGGTTCTCGTCCTCCCCGTTGGGGCAGTGCAGGACCCCATCGCACCACTGGGAGGAGTTGATGCAGGTTCCCGAGGAGCCGCACTCGATCCCGGACCTCAAGCACTTGTGCTCCACTTGCAGAGAGACGGGAGGGAGACTCCAGTCAGGCTCAGAAACCAAGAAAACCTCCCAGCGCCCAGCAGGAGTTCATGGGTCTCCGAGCCCCAGGTAACAAGAGGGAAGAACCCTTTTCCCCCTTATTTCGATAAGGAGGGGCAGATACAACCACCTGGACCACGAGAGTGGCTGCTTCCAATGGTTATGCACGCTCCACCGTGACTAAGCAGAAGGAAGGCGAAGCCAGCTCGTTTGGAAAGAGAAACTTCGGGAAGGGCTAGGGGTGGTCCCCCAGCCCGGGGAGCAGGACCACTGAATGGTCAGCACAGCATAACTTCTCCCACTTGCTTTGGGCGGCTCCTCTGCACTTACAAAACTTCCAGAGCAGGATGGCGGCCACCACTACTGCCGTGACGAGGACCCCCAGGGTGATGGTCACGCACACTGCTTTCTTAGTCTCTGGAGGAAAGAGGCAAGTACACAATTCAGCTGCAGAATTTTTCAGAAGTTGCGCTCTCAAATTTTAACCACTACTTTTATAGCATATCATGTCGAGAAATAATTTCTTATACACTTAAAAATAGGACTTTTAATGTTAAGAATGTATTCTTGGAGGTCTTACTTCTTCCAGGGCATTCAACTTTATGCTTGTTGGAGAACAAAAGGAAGAAACCATGATATGAAGCAACACACGCTAAAGTTAAGCTCTTAAAAAAAAAGTATAGTCTTTTTTAAAATAGTCAAATAAATGATTCATGTAAAAAATTGGCTGAAAGAGGAAAGGTACCTTGTTTCAGTAACTACAAGCATAAGCAAATTTTAATGTCCTCGAAACTATCATCTCCACATCAGTGGTACTCAATGCAGAATAAATGGTCTTACTCAAGACGGTTTAGTGAATGGATGCTACACACCCACACCGCCTTATTCGACAGCCACTTGGCGCATGTGGCTATTCACACTTCAATTAATTACCATTAAATGGAATTAAGTCAAGTTATGTAAATTCAAGAGCTCAACAGTCGCCTGTGTCCAGTGGCTACTGTACTGTCCAGGGCAGATGTAGAACATTCTCATCACTGTGGAAAGTTCTATTGGGCAACACTGACATTGGCCCTAAAGGGCTGAGGGCAGGAACAATGGGCTCACATTTCAGCCAAGAAGAAAGGCATTTGGAAAAGGTCACCAGTGTTCTCTAGTCAAAACAAACCGATGGGCCGTTGTCGGTCAGAGTGTGAGCCAAACATTGTATCAAGTTTCAGAGGACACGCCAGACACCACCACCCCAGCAATCCTAGGCAGGGCACAGCCCCAGGCCCGAGTGCTCCTAGAGCTTTCCTTGGAAGACAAGTGGAGAGAGGAGGAGAAGGTATTTAAACAGACCCTCCAACCTCCTTAGCTTATCCAGGAGGGTGCCCAAGTTGGAGAGGAAGGGTGCGTGGGGGGGCCACCTGTACATACAGGTGTGCCTATGCTTCCGGGAAGTGAACCAGGGCAAGTTCAGCTTCTGGAGTCAGACAGACCAGAGCTGACCCAACTGATCAGGGCTCAAAGCCACGCCTCTCATTTCCTTGTTACATCCTGCGAATTCCAGTCTGTTCTCAAACCGTAACAGGCTTAGGAATCGCCTAGGGCACCTGTTCACCAGTTTCCTGGCCCCCATCGCCAGAGATTCTGATTCGGTTGGGAGCCTGAATAATGAGAGGGAGGCACGAATTTGCAGTTGTAACAGGCTCACAGGTGAGGCCAGGGCCACTGGTCTGAGGACAGCCACATGCCACCGGAGCCTCGTTATCAGAACTTGGCCTCAGGTGCTTATGTCTCCCCACAGGCAAGGTGGGTCACAGAGGCAGCTCCAACAGGGGAAATTTCAAATGTCCAATTTGACCCATTAGCCAAGGACAATTTCTCCCTTTGGGCAACTTCCCCATACATCATTTTACCTAAGATAAAGTAACTTGCCTGGTGAGCCACAGGATATTAAGTTCAGTATTCTTAACCCCTAACTGAGCGAGTGGCAGTCTGCTCAGGAGACTGAGCAGGTGGGCAATGGGGAGCCCTAATTTTTCCTTTGCTGGACAGGCATTTGTCATCAGAGTCTGCTCAGTCCAAGGTTTGGTCCTGGTTTTCAATCACTGCTTTTGTTGAGATTATTATAACTTACTATTTATGTACCTTCCTCATTATCAATGTAGTCTGTTGTTGATTCGGCCCTACAGTTTCTAGTGTCAACTATTTGCAAAACCACAGGACTGTTGACCTTCAGTTCTCCAAATCCCAAACTTTAAGGTGTGTAGGCATTGCAATTCAACGTGAAACATCTATGACTGTTGCCAAAGCAAATAAATATATTAAGTCCCAAAATGCCCCTTGTATTCCTGATGGGGTTCTTCTGATTTGTGCTATTTAAGTAACTTGTTACTTAACTAACTGTCAAGGCTCTGACAAGGCTACATACCTCATGATTCCAACTACAGTCGTGCGCCTCTTAACGACGGGGCTATGTTCTAAGAAATGCATTGTTAGGAGATTTCGTCATTGTGCGAACATCATAGAGTGCACTTACACAAACCTAGATGGTCTAGCCTACTAAACACCTAGGCTCTATGGTACTAATCTTATGGGACCACCGTCACATACGCAGTCTGTTGTTGACAGAAATGTTATGATGTGGCAAATGACTGTATATAACATTCCGGAAAAGGCAAAACTATGGAGACAGCAAGAAGACCAGTGGTGGCCAAGTGTTGGGGGCAGAGATGGAAGGATGAGTAGGTGCAGCACAGACGATTTTTAGGGCAGTAAAGTATTCTGTATGATCCTGTAATGAGGGACACGTATCATTATACCTTTGTGAAAACTTATAGAATATACAACAAAAAGAGTGTAACCCTAATGTAAAACTATGGACTTCAGTTAATAATAATGTATCAGTATCGGTTCATCTATTGTAACAAATGTATCACACTAAGGCAAGATGGCAGGAGAAACACTGGGGATGAGAGAAAGGAGTATATAGGAACTCTATACAATTTTTATATAAGCCTAAAACTACTCTAAAAAAAACCAGTCTATTAATTTAAAAAATTCCAAGGCCAAATATCACACTTATAAAATGTATGAGTTTCTATGTGTTATAAGTCAATAAAATATTCTAAAAAATAATACCAAGTTTAGATCACTAAGCTATTTTTGAGTTTAAAGGGCAGTTTTATAATGCAGAATCATATGTGTAGGCTCATATTCTTCTATTATAAAGGTAACTGATAAGGGATTTATATGTTCCTGTCTGATTGACTGTCATCACAGGTTTCTCCCCTGGAAAAGTAGAAACGTGTGTCAGGCAAGTGGGCTCTTTCTGTCGGGCTGGGTTGGACAGTCACTGGTATGGGTACCACCTGTTGAAGGTGCTGACCTCAGGAAAGGACCCTAGGTTTCTGACCACTGTCCTCTCTCTTTAGGAAGCAGGTTCCACTGTCAGGGGTTCCTTAACCCTCCCCCCCACCGGGCCTCCTTCCGACCACCATGACGGACGAAGACCAGGGGTTTTCAGCCCCGGCCCTACTGACATTCTGGCTGCATCATCTGAGTTGCGGGGGGCTGTCCTGTGCACTGTAGGATGTTTAGCAGCATCCCTGGTACCAACCCAGGAGATGCCAGTAGCACCTCCCTCCCCACTTATAACAACCCAAACTGTCTCCAGACCCTGCCAAATGTCCCCGGGGGGTCCTGAGAACCACTGGTCCCAACCTACCCAACCACCACCAGAGAGACATCAGCGCAGAGACAAGTATCTCTCTGAGCAGAGAGAAACTGAGAGAGGGCAAGAGAGAACCACAGAGGAAAAGAGCAGGGATGATTAAGGAGGGGTCGTGAAGAGGTAGCAAAGGCAGGAATGACAGGGAGTAGAGGCTGGCGGAGAGAAGGAAGGATGCAAGAGCCATTTGTGAAGGGGGAGGGAGGCAGACGCCAGCACTGGGGCAGGAATACGAGAGTGACGGCACTTGTTAAGAGCTGGGGAGGTCTGGGGAGGAGCATACAGGGCTCAAATAGTACAGGTGTTATTCATCTCCATCGTCTATGATGTGGTGGTGGGCACAGGGAAATTGACTTTATTACTAATCTTTAACCGCACAAGTTGTATTTACATGTTTGCATATCTCACAACATAAAAACATTAGCAATGAAAATGTTCGTCAGTGTAGCCACTGTAGTAGTTTTAGTGTTGGCTGTGCCAGTCCACCACTGTACTAGCTGTGCCCGGGTAGTTCTTAAACTAGCCTGCACTGAAAGCCAGGCGGGGGTGCAAGAGGAGGGGGTCTGGAGAGAAAGGGGCCAAAAAGAAATGCAAAGAAGAGGTGAACGAGAGGGTAAGAAAGATGTGGGATCAAAGGCCACACAAGCTCCACCCCCTCAGCTCCCTCTACGACCCACTCAGGTGTGTCCAGAAGATCATTAGAGCCAAGAGAAATGTCGCAGATGCTTCTGGGTGACAACCACATCAGCCACTTAATTCATGGACCACGTAACACTTATCAAGCATCTTAAACACGACCTGCTGTATGTGGGGAACTGGACCACAAAGAAAGCTTCGATAGTTTATTCCTGCAGCAGGAGCTTACCATTTATTCAAGATGCTACACCACTACACCACGCAGGCAAGAAACAGCGCAGAGAGGCCTGGCCTGAAGGACCACCCCGGCCGATTCAGGCAAAGCTGGTACAGGAGAGTTAACGGAAGATGAAGATCTTTGCAGCCCGGAGGTCCCTGCGAGGCTCTGGACAGGTCAGACATGGCGGCTGATAGCCTTGAGCCGGATGCAGGAGAGGGGAAAGACAAGCTAAGACAGACGAGCCCCAGCAGACGAGGATCGTCAGCAACAGAGCTGGTGAGAGCAGAGAGCCCACGACAGAAGGCAGATCCCAAACTCGGGTTCCATTATAGGAAATAATGCAAAAAGGGTCCTACTTGAGGTGCATACTGTCCCAGATGGGGATTTGGACTGCCTGTGGACGACGTGTGTCGAAGCCCGAGTCGAAACCGTTGTGGAGTACTGGGGTACCGAGGGCGGGTAGTGCTGAGCCGGATACGCTCCGTAACCAGGGGCCGCCGGGGGCGGCCGGGGATAGAGGCTTTCCGGTTGGTATCCATGGTTTTCGTAGTAAGGTCCAACACCTGGTGGTGATCCCTAAACAATTAAAAAGAAGATGAATAATGTAAAACCCCAATTACGCTAAAGGTTAAATGTATATCCCACCACACTCAGACAAGGCACTGAAACGGAGCCGCAGATTCTTGAGAGCGTCTATAATTATGCCGAACACCAAACTTACCCGGAATACAAACTAGCCAGGATTTTCAATTAATTGTCAACAGTTTTTGTTTTTGTTTGTTTGCTATTCATTTTTTAAAACAGAGAAAAAGTAAATGGCTGACTTCGAGATTTAATTTAAAAATTTTAAAAAAATGTGCAGAAGTCTGGGAATGAGTCACTCCCCTAATAAATGAACGAATGAATGAAGCTTCCCAGCTTCAGAATGGGGGCGCAAAGTCATGAACTAATGATATCAGAATTATAATGAGAATAATACTAGCTAACATGTGAGGACTCCCCTGCCACCGGGCGTCTGTATTCATGACCTCCTTGAAACCTGACCATAACCCCTAGGATGGTACAGGTATGACTGATAAGCCCATTTTGCAGAGAGGAACACAAATGACAGAGGTTAAGAAATTTACCCGAAGGATCATACTATACGTGTTATTCTGATAATTCCTTTTCTATCGCCTCTTCTCTTATGGAGATGCATCATCATTTACTCACCATCTCTTAATAATGGACATTTAAATGGTTTACAATTGGGAGCTGCTAGCGGTTCTGGGGCAACAAGCATCCTTATACAGCACACGCATTTTTGTGGAGAGTGTGTAGATTTCCGTATCTACATCTCCGGGAGCGGAATTTCTGGGTCCAAACGTGGAAGGTACTGCCCCAGTCATAGCATTTTATTCCCAGCTCCATCCTTCAGCTGGTTTCTGTCTTCCTAGAATGACCTTCTCCTCTTTCTCTTTCTACTTAAAAATTGCCTTCTCAAGGTCTACCCCTTCGAGACCACGCCCACCAGGCCGCTATAGACCCCACCAGCCTTCATTCTTCCCTGCTTCAGCTCTCCTCAATCGCCACTGGCTGGGCCACTCTGGGGGGGCCACATCTATCCTCTTATCAGTGCTGAGGTCGCCATGCAGAACTTCTTCCCATTCTTTAATTCCTGTCCCCTGTTTCTTGTTGATTGCAATCTCAGAGAGGACCAGTATTCTGAGCAGAGGCAACTTTATGCTTAGAATTTTAAATGAGGCCTCCAGGGAAGGCAGTGAGCCAAATGCAGGCTCCCAGAGTTGACCTCTGCTTAATAACTCACCAATGCGCTCCTTCAAAAGTCCAAAGATTCTAACTCTAAGCCAGAGCAGTGGACAGAAAAGGAAAACCAAATGTAATCTGTAATCTAAATGGGGTACCAGAGGCAAAAAAAGGGAGCACATGTGTCTGGCCTCTATCTGAAGCATCTAAGAACACGCCGTCCCACCCAAGAAAGGCAGTAGCAAGTACAGCAGTTTGTCCTGGCGAACTCCTGTGCAGTGGATTTGACATTTAAAATGGATGCAGTGAAAATAAGTACCAGCAACAATAAAGGGCGGGGGGGGGAGCAAAAGATATATTTTCCAGATATAGAGCAGTTTTGTTATTAACTACAACTCTTGACTAAATGCACGTATTCCCAGTTATAAGAGGAATCAGTGAGATACGATGGGAACAAAGATACTGCATTTGTCTCCAAAGTGGGGAGGAGGCAGTTTCCAGGCGGAAGGACAGTCACCCAACGCCTCATTCAATCATGACCTGGTCCCAGTGTATCAGGAAGCCAGGCTACCCAGTGGTGTGTTGGCCGATGCTATCTCATACACTCTTTCTTCCCTGGGACTTACTCCCCTTAACACCGTCCTGCCTCTATCTGTCCCCACACCTCACCCTTCCCCCACCCACCCCCAGCCTCAGAGCAGAAGGAGAAGAGGCGAAAGGGAGAAGGCAGATCTCGCCACCTCCACCCGACAGCTCTGAGACTCTCAGCTGTGCGAACGCTGTGTGGCTACACCCTGACTCCTTCTCACCTGTCACCTGGAGAGTGCCTTGACCAACATCCACAGAACACACACATTCCCTGCAAACAGGTCTGAAAATGCTGACCAATGCTCACCTCGGGGAAATAGAAGAGATAGGGGAGAAAGGGCGAGGGAGGTAATAATTAACCACTTACTGAGTTTAAAGCCATGCTGACTTTATCAGCAGCATCAGGTAATGGTAGGTATTTGGAACGTTCAAGATGACCTAGAAGAAAGAATTTCAAGACTATAAAATTTCCATACCGGTTAGTTTTTAGAAGATACATCGAGAAAGAACTAGAAGACTCTCTAGGTGAGAGGTACCTCTCTCCAGAATAAACCGCAGTTTGGCCCGTTGACCTTGGCCTTCACCTTCGCCACCTCTTCCCCACAGCTGCTCACACTGAGGGGGTTTGGAATGCCTGGTAACTGAGAGGTTAGGGCCACTGCCCTTAGCTCTCACCAGGAGGCCGAGACTTCCCCCATGATACCTCTATCAAGAGGAGAATCCGGGGAATGAGAACACACACAGGGTGGCTGGATAAAGCCTTGGGGTCAACTCCTGGCAGCGTCACCAGGCCAGTACCTGAAGCTCTCCGAATCTGGGACAGACGCGGACGTGGTAATCGGCACCATCTTGTTCAGTTGAGGATTCGATGAGAAGGAGCAGGCGGCGCCCCTCACACTGCCCGCCAAGTGACGGCATGTGTGACAAGACCCTCCCTCCCTTGTGCCTGCAGAGGCTCCACGGGCACGTGGGAGCGGCCGTCCACCCTCCAACAGGTGGTCTAGAACTCGGTACCAGATAGAGGTCACATCTGACTTTTTAAGTAAGCCATATGGAAGCTCCCCATTCTTAATCAACACATACATTAAAAAATTCCATAAAACACATCCACACCCACCCACTACTCTAATTGCTACCCTAAATCCAGAAAATAAATTCAGAACTAACTATTCTGATGGTTTCTAAGGTTAGCTGGCAATAATGAAAAGAAAACTCTGGGTCTTTTGTTTGCCAAGGTTTCTGAACAGTTAATAGTAATATCTAGAAAGGCCGTCAACACAAAACGCTTTAGGGTAAAGTCCCATCTGACGTCACTCTCCCCATCATGAATAAGTGAGGGCTTTCATCCTCCACTCCCTGCTGTCTTGAAATGACTAAAGAATACCTCGAGAAAGGCCTTGGAGGGGCTGGCCCGGTGGCACAGTGGTTAAGTTCTTGAGTTCTGCTTCTGCGGCCTGGGGTTCACAGGTTCGGATCCCGGGCACGGACCTATGCACCGCTTATCAAGCCGTGCCGTGGCAGGTGTCCCACATACAAAATAGAGGAAGATAGACACGGATGTTAGCCCACGGCCAATCTTCCTCAGCAAAAAAGAGGAGGATTGGCAACAGATGTTAGCTCAGGGCTAATCTTCCTTACCAAAAAAAATAAAAAGAAAGAAAGAAATGGCCTTGGAAATCATCCATCCACAAGGCTGTGTTCCCAATGAGGAGATGGGGGCCCAGAGAAAGGTCTGGGCTGCGAAGCTGGCCAGATCAGGTCTGAACATTTCCATCTGTACAGTTTCTGGTACACAGTAGGGGCTCAAACAGGAGCAGACAGCATGGCGCAGTGGTTAAGCCCATGACCTCTGGGACTAGACTCTGGATCCCAAACCTGGCTCAGTCACTCACTAACAGTCACCTGGGCAAGCTAGTTAACCTTTCTGTGCCTCAGTTTCCTTGTCTGCAAAAGGAGATGACAGTGGCCCCCACTACAGGTTGTCAGGGGCATGACATGAGTTGACACTGAGGAAGCTCTCAGTGCCTGGCATCAGTAAGGGCTACATACATTTTTGTTAAATAAAAGTGATCATAAAGCTGATAAACGTTGACCCGCCTGCTGGGGAGGGAGGGGCCTGACTCGCAGCATTTACGGATCTGCAGATATGCGTTTGGTAACTGCTCCCAAGCTACCACCTGCTCTGAAAAACCAATGGCGCCAAAGCCACAGGCTCAGCTCCAACACACCAGTGCGTTTCTGTCTCCTACATAAAATTACTATTTGACCCATTAAACTTGAAAAGAAAAAAAACCCAAAAACATTAATTTGCTATAAATCAAAATATGAATACAGCTTTTTAATTTTGGGAAACCTCATTGAACAGGTCACAACAAAAATACACCAGATCATTTATTTACCCTTCGTGTAAAGATAAAATGTAAGAACTGTTCATATTGATAACTGTGAGTTTTTGGGTTTTTTTTTGCTTGAGGAAGATTGGCCCTGAGCTAACATCTGTGCCAATCTTCCCCTATTTTGTATGTGGGACGCCACCACAGCATGGCTGATGACGAATGGTGTAGGTCCATGCTCAGGAATGGAACCCAGCCGGCTGAAGCAGAGCACACCAAACAACCACTAGGCCACAGGGCCAGCCCCGACAGCTTTAAGATTTTTTTAAGTTAAAAAAAAAAAAAAGTCAACACCTTTCTGGGTTTAAGGAAAGAAAACTGACCATTATACAGGTGGGAGGAGTCACCATTTAGAATATATTTAATACTTAAGCCTTTAAGTGGTGTGATTATCACATATTAATACACCTTTTCTATGTCTGCTCTGTAAAGAGAGAAGGTTCTAGGACCTGACATCCACACTATATCCTCCACTCCCCTCCAGCCTAAACAGGAGAAAACTCTGCGCCTTCCTAAGATTAATTTCAAAAGAGTCGTTCCCAAGCAGACATTCTCAGCTCTGGTTTCTCTGGTCTCAATGGCAGCTACTCCCCGCCTCTCTGAGCTATCTCACCAGCTACAAGTTTGGTTGAAGTTTCAGGAAATGAAAATTCGATCCCACTGGCGGCTTTCCCAGTTTAAGAGCGCTCTGAAAGGAACGATGAATCAATGCTCGAAATCCACGCTTCCTGTTCATTCAAGATCCCTAACAGTGAGAGACAAGGAAGCCGGGAAAGGAAGGGCTGCAGGGAGCCGTGGCCATGGATTGTCCATGAAAGCCACGGGACCCAGAAGTAATCACAGGATAATCCTATCTCAGCCAGCAATCCCACGAGCCACAAAACCTGAGAACCAAAAACCACCAACTGTGCTCAGATCAGCTAACTCGGACTATGGAACAGAAGTCAAGAGTGTGCTGCCTATAATTTTTTCTGACCACACAGAAAGAATGGGGGGGAAGTCTCACTCTGGATCTGAAAGGAGACACACTGCTGTCCAGAAAGACCAGGAGACCACATTCGGTCCAGTCCACCTGCAAAACAGGCATTTCTATGCCCACGCAAGATAGTAAATCTCTTTGGTTTCTGAAAGGAAGCAATACGTAACCCAGATGGCGAGAGATAACACTGTCTTTCGAGTGTTCTTTCCTGTCATTTAAAAGACACAGATGACTGTTCTTCATTTCAGAAAGCCAGACATAATAAAGCATTTTTCCTTTAAGTGACAAAAGAGTAAATGTGAGAGGAAGCTCCTAATCCCCTCCTTGTTCTCGGCGCTCCCGGACCAACATCGTCCACTTGAGTCACACCATGCAACACAGCTGTTTCGGTCTGCTCTGGGCTTTTCTTCCAGAGAGCTGAGTCACACCTCCGGTCACCTGCCCGGCCACCGCTCCACGGGATCGTGCCGTGGAATCCTACCTGTGACTCATGACATAATGAACTATTTCCAAATAAGAACAGTCTCTTATAGTGTCTTCCCTCTGGAGAGCTCAGACTACATTTGCTGGAGACTTATTCTGAAAACCACCAAACCAATGCAAATGAAATCTCTCTCACAGACACTCCCATCTAGGGTGTCAGGGGTGTTCCCTATGGTGAAGGCTCCACTGACTTCCCCACGCACCACCGTCCATGCATTTGCTCCTGCACTGAGCCCACGGTTGCCTTCGAGACGTTAGAGCTGTGACAGGCAGATAAGGCTCCGTCTTCCTTGACCTCAGATTCTGCATTCATTCTTCAAACTCCAAAGCAAGCAACACCAATGAACCAATGATCAATAGGAACTCTTGATGCCTCATCCACTGCAAAAAAACCACATTATACGAAAAGATGTTCTCATATCCTGTAGGGGATATAATGCACTGTTAGAGGAAAGTTAACAGACGGTGGCAGATATAAATAACAGTTCAACATAAACAAATGTAAGATGATCAGATAAGTGGAGTACACAGTAACTGACACAGGAATGAGAGAGAGAGAGAGAGAAAGGGAAAGAGGGAGGGAGAGACATCACCTCAGAAGAGGCATTGCCCGCATCATCTGAGTTTCTCTTTCTATGAATGCCTCATTGTCTCAACGAGATTACAAACTTTTTAGGGCAGGAATTGGGTCTGGTCCCTTTTTTTTTGTTAAATCTAGCTTTGTATCTTACAAAGAAAGTGTTCCAATATTTTTTTGAATTCCAAAGACCAAATGAGTAAGATGAAATTTAAGAGAAAGAGAGAGAGCTGGAAAGCCTGTACCTGGACAAAACCAGCCTCCAAGTTGTGGATGTGGGTGACCTCACGGGTCCAGGTGCATGAAACTGACAGCACACCCAACCTGACGGGCAGGCCAGAGAGGTCCCCAGGGCCCTCCAGGAGGGAGGTGTCCTCGATACCATGCAAAGGCCACCAGCTAAGATTTAAAGAACTTGGCCAAGCTGATCTGTGAAATGAGGATAACGAATGAGCAAGGTGGATGCAGGAATTAAGTGAGAGTTTCCTAGCACCATGCCCGACACGTGAACTTTCAATAATAATACAATGATAGCAGCTAAGATTTACCTTCCGGTACCTAAGGGACTGTTACGTGGAAAAGGGACTCAGTTCAGTCTGTGTAAATCCAAAGGATGAAATCAGGATTAAAATGGACAGAAAGAGCAGAAAGGCAGGTTTAACTCAACCCAGGGAAACCGAGTTTCCAACAACGAGAGAGTTTAAATATCGACTGCGTTGCCTTGGAAAGAACAGAATTCCCCAAACCGAAAAATGTTTGATCCAATACTGGAAGATAGTTTTCTTAAGCATGTTCTAGAACAAAATTGGGCTTTAGCTGGGAGGCCAGACATGATGATCTTTTATTTTCCACGGTCAGAAACTTGAAGCATGAACTCCAAACCCCTCATCCCTAGAAAACACAGGCTCCGCAGGCCCTGAGTTCAGATCAAGGGCCATAATGAGGTCAGGCGTGGCGCCCTGCCAGGAGGGCCCCTTGGAAAGCAATGACCTTGGAGGGAACCTGACACTGGCTCTCTTGCCACAAGCAAACAAGTAACCACAAAGCCTGGCTTAGTTTCATCTTGCCAGTCAGCTCTCACTTTTTCACACGAGCGTCCTCCCTCTGGATCCCCATGGCCTCTCTCCTCGGCCCCGCAGTCCTTCGGTGCCCAGTTCTTCCGTCTACTCCATCCTCACGTGGATCCAGACTCCAGGCGCCACCGCCGCAGACACGTGGTGTCCTTCACACGTTTCCTGCTTTCTTCTCACATTTCTGTGTCCTTGCCCCCTCCTGCACGCCGCCCCCCACGGAAGCCTGACGGCATCCCTCGGAACACACAAACAAAAGCCCGGAGTCTTCACCCAGAGCAGGTCCTCCCCTCCTTCTAGCTGACTCATTTCCAATAAGAGCAAAAAACACGTCTTTGAGTCACCTTCTACCTCAAGTCCACACTGTTTACAATCAAAGTGACTGCCCCCCCGCCCCCCAGAAGATCAGTGTCCTCCTTTCTCCCTCGATGCCTCAAGGCTGACCTCGACGTCCTCCGCTGGTCCCAGTTCCTCTTCTCCTGACTGCTGTCCAGTGGCCGGGACAAACCAGGTCCCGGGAGAGCTTTTCTTCCTTTCCCACCTCAAGCTCCACTTCCAGGTTCTCCCCTGGAGCTGCCTGTGTGATCAGCCGAGCCCTCCGCTACCCCCTGAGATTCCGAGTGCAGCTGGGCCAGGATGGCCAATGGCACAAGGGGCAGCGTGAGTCCCCTCCTCCATACCCTGGGGGCTTACAAGCCAGGGCCCCCCAAGATGGCCTTCAGGGCTCCCCAACACCAAGCCAGGAGGGGACTCACCAAGGCCAGACCAATTCAGATCTCATGCTCAGGTACATGACGCCTTAGCACCCCATCCCCAGAGGCCACCCAAGGAGTCCCGGGCAGGTGCCCTGGAAAGTAAGGAAGGGCCAAGAAGAGAAGCAACGGCTCAGCAATGGTGGGCAGCGGGACCACCTAGGGGATCCAGAGCAGGAGGAGCAGCAGAGAATGGGAAAGCCCTGGGGCCTTGACAGCCCCTTGCTCCGGGCCACAGCCCTTTCCCCAGCCTCCAGGCCCCTCCTCCACCCTCCTCACAGCAGGGTCAGCTTCAGCCACGAAATTGACCCAGTCACGTTCCCTTTCTGCTTCCAAGCCCAAGGCTCAAACTTGATCCCTGGTTCCCAAATCCGGAATTTTCCGGAAGGGTTTAGAAAAATAGATTCCTACGCCCCACTCCCAGAGTCTGATGCAGCAACTGGAACCAGGGCCATGACCCTATATCATTATAAGTTTCCCTCGGGGCTCCTGCGACAGGTTTAGGAGGAAAAGAGTGAGAGCCACCAGCCTGGAGTCCTGATTTACACTTCCTGTAAACCCCCACCCCAGGCTGGGCCCAGAGTAGTGGCTGCCACTTACATGATGATGACGATTATTGGCATTATGCACTTGGTGTCTACAGGACATTTTCTCCAGCGCCTTGTCCCTTAATGCCCCCATCTCTCAGGGAGGTCAGCTGGGTCACACTGGAAGGGGGCAGCACAGCCCAGGTGGGGCTGCTGGCAGGTGCACCACTGTCAGGTTAGGGGGAAACTAGCCCGGGCCACGAGCAAGCCCCTTTCCCATGAGGATTCCCGGCAGTTCTCAGCTTCCCTCTCTCCTTCTTTCCACTGGTAACATTCTAACCTCCTGGAGGAGCAGGGAGGAAAGAAAGGGAATTGATACCATGTGCCGAAGCCCCAAGGCCTGCCTGCATCCCCAGTTCTCCCTTCCTACTGTCTCACCTCTCTGCCTCAGTTCCCTTACAATTGAGTTAAATATGTTATAAAGAGCTTGCCATGATGCCTGGCTGGAAGAAAGTACCACATCCACGTTTGCTGTTATTATGATAACACCAGTGTGGCCAAATTTGCTCCTACAATTAAGATGACTGAGCCCAGGGCGGAGCCGCCAAGGCTTGGAGGCAGCAGAGCTCCAAGGTGGCTCGGGCAACCACATAACTTTGTCAGAGGAAGGCTGACCTTGGGGTGTTAATAAGACGGAAGTTGCTGGGGACCAAAAAGATGTCCAAGCCACGAACAGAGGCCCATGCTGCTCACCCGTTGATATTTTTTAAAAAACAGAGACTGAAGTGTTGAATGACCATTCTGCAGGCAGAGGGCCCAGCTCATGAGGACTCCCCCAAATCTTATGCGGAGTGTGTGCTTGTTCCAGGGACTCTGGGTTTCTCTCTCATCTCACCAGTCCAGTCAGTTCTGCTGGGGGGCAGAGGCAGGCCCCACTTCTGGTAAAGCTGGGACACCCATGAGCACTACCCCCCAATGACTTCCTGGGGGCTCCCAGACGACCTGGCCCACCAGACTCCCTTCACTTCACTCAGAGCAGCGGCGCCTTGGAGCACGGGCTGCCCCAGAGCCTGCACCCACCAGAGTCCGTGGCCTCGGTGAACTCTGCGCCACACTCCCAGGCCCCGCCCTTTGTCCAGAGGAGGTTGCCTCCATCCTCACTTCCTGGAGGCCGTTCCCCGACCTCCCAGGCTAAGTCAACAACCCTCCCCTCACTTTAGGTTTTCTAAGCACCTTGGAACTCCACTTCGCAGCCTCTGTAATTTTCCATCATTTGGTTGGCTCTCCACCGCTGTGAGCGCCAGGAGCGCAAGGATCAGCGCGCCCCCGTGCGCCCCTTATCTTAGCCCCAGGACTACCACGCGTCTTTGAATCAAGGGGCGGGCAGCCTAGAGGCCGAGCCCTGGGTGACCCCTGCCCACCAGGCGAACCTCGGGCCGCCGAGCTATCCTTTCTCCTCAGTTAGGATCCCTCTTGACCAGGCCCGCTGCCTGTGCGTTCCAAACGGGATTCGGGTTCACCGCGCTGTGATCCGGCCATCTGCCGCACGGGTTCCGGGCTCTGGGCACGCAAATGCCGGGGCACAAGCCAGGGCCAGCGGCCACCGGCAACCAGGCCCTCTGGGGCGTGGACACACGAACTTTTGGGCCATAAGGCAATTCTTCCGCAGGGCCCGTGGGGCCGGGGGCAGGGCGCCCACTGCCAGGCTGGTGCGCGGGCCGCCTCCCACAGTCCCGAGTCCTGCCGGACGGCATGCTGTGGACCGAAGCGCCTGGGTGTCCGGCCTTGTCCCCGACAGGGAGCTCGCGCCCAGGACCAGGACCGCTCCTCCAGGGCGGGTTCCTGCAAGTGCCCGGTGCCCAGGCGGCCTGGCCCTCATCGCCACCGCCGGGGCCCGGGCTGCGGGCAGTCCTTCCCCGGGCCCGCCGAGCCGTTCGCGCCTCGCCCCGGGGCCCTCCGGGAGCCTGTCCCCGCCGTCCCTGCCGCGCCAGCCGTATCTCTGCCGGCATCTCAGCGAGTTTCCAGTTTCTCCCCACTTCGGGAGGGAACCAAGAAGCAGGAGGAGTTCAGATAACATTCCGGGGCTGCAGAGATTTTCCCGAAACAAAGAAACGGATCGACAACCCTCTCTCTTCCTCGTCCCCAAAGAGAAAAGGCGCACCTTTGGTCCCCAGCTCTGGGCAGTAGAGGGCAGGTTATCAGGAGCCGGTTCCAGCAGAGGAGACCCACCCCGAGGGTCCCCAAGGCACCCTCCTCTCCGACCAATTGGCCAGGGACTCGCAGAGCAACCTGCCCCAGTCCGGGTGCCAACGCGGCGGCCGGGGGCCTCGGAGCGGCGCACCAAGGCGTCCCAGGCGCGCGGCACCCTCCCAGCCCCCGCGGAGGGCACTTTGCCCAGCTCAGCCCTGGGCGGCCAGAGGACGCACCTGCGGCGCTCGCGCTGCTCACACCTGGCCTCACCTCCTGCCAGCCCCAGCCAGCGCGGGGGGCACTTAGGTCGTTCCTGGGCGCCCGCGTCTTCCCTCTCGCGCCCGGGACGCGCACCCTGGACCCCGCACAGAGAACCGGCCGCGCGCCGCTTACCTGCGGCGCTCCGGGGTCGGACGCTTCCCGCCTCTCGCCCTTCCTCCTCCTCCTCCTCTTTCTCCTCCTCTGCCTCCTACCGAGCTCGCGTCTTCCTCTGCCCAGCACAGGAGTCCCCGACACTCCCCTGCTCTCGCTTTAATCCCGGGAGGCGGTTTCCGAGTGCTCAGGGCGACACCCCCAAGCCTAAGTCCCGGGTCACCTCGTGTAGGGGGAGGGGATGGGCGGGGCGGCTAGGGGCGGCGGGAGGGAGGAGTCTCCCCGGGGAAAGCCCGGGACGCGCTCCTGACTCCCCCCCGCGGTGAGACCCAGCGGGAGCTCCGGGGACATTCCCCGGACCTCGTCTCCTGGCAGTTTAGGACTGGGGAGGAGCGTGTCTTCCTCCCCACATCCCCTGGACCGCGCCTGTCGAGGGTGCTTCGCAGCCCGAGGACTCGAGTTTGGATTAAGCAGGGAGATTCTGGGGAGCGCTGACGGAGTCCCCGTGTGAGCCCAAGGAGCTGCTGCTAGCTGAGCTCCTGTCGGCGGCCAGCCCAGCCCTCGACCCCGGGGACTCGCGTAGCCTCTGTGCCCAAGGCGAGGACCCAGGAGTCGGCCCCCAGGACCGCTGGCCCAGGCACCAGAGCCAGAGGACGCAGCGCCGCGTGCCAACGACCCTCGGCAGTCCTACTGTGCGGCCTTTCCCTGCTCTCAGGTCCAGTCCCTCCCCCCGCCCTCGGAACGTCCCCAGGAGTGGCGCTAAGACTTCCTACCCGCTAAAGGCAAGGGTGAGGAAAAGGGATAAGATAAACCTTAGTCCAGAAGCCCTGGCTTTCCCTCTGTCTTTAAGAGGTGCTTTCCAAGGCTGTTAGCCCTACACAAATTGCTAACGTGGATTGCTTTACAACGAGGTGGAGGCAGAAGAAAGCCTAATTCATTCTGAATCACGTGCTGCCTTGGCTCAGCGCTCCTTCCTGGGCAAGTCTCCCTGGGAGCTGAACTTTCCTAGTAAGTTCTTCCATTCTCCCCTTTGGCTCCCATCCTTAGATCCACAACAAGGGACCGTCTGGAAGATGCCCCAGTCCCACCCATCTCACACTTCACTGCTGTCCAGGTTGTCCCCGGTAGAAGACCCTTGAGGACCATCTCCAGGAGATAGGTCAGGTCGGGTTGTCTTCTGTTGGGCTATCACTTATTTCTGTTTTGAATAGGGTCTTGGGAGCCCTGTAGGAGTGACACCATTATTCCACCAAACCCCTAACGTTCACCTACACACCAGGTAGGATGTGTGTTTCTACAGTCGGTGGCTGTTCTCTCAACATTCATTTCCCCTTCTTTTGGCAACCTCCTGGAACTTTTGTTGAGGTATACACACCTCCAGGAGCGACCACGGCTTGGGGAGCCAGCTCCGCCTGAGTGCTAGAGGTGGACATGCGGCCAGTGTCTGGCTCAGCAGCTTAATTCCATTCTCTGCCACAATTCCTGCTTCAGGGATGAACACACAACCCATTTCTGGCCAGTGAGAGGTGGAAGAGAGGTTTCTACCTCTATTGGGGGGGAGGGGGTACTATTTTCTTACTCTTCTAAGGGAATTTCCAGAGACCCTCTTCCTTGTGCTTGGAGGAAGAAGCAAGTAGTCCCAGGAATTGTTGATAGCCATTTTTCCATCACCAGGGAGCCAGTGCCAAGATCAAGATAGCTCCTCCATCCAAAACCACAGCATAGAGATGACAAGAAACCCAATTTCTGGCATCACTGAGCCCCTGAATCAAACCAGCTCTGAACTTAAGCCCCCATTGCCACTTTTTTCAGAGACAAGTGGAAAATCAGAATTGTTTACCAAAGGAAGTAGCTGTGATACAAAGAAAACGAAACTGTATTATTATTACGTACTAAAAATAACAACAGAGTTCCGTTTGTAGTAGTATGGCCGACTAAACGTCCTGAAATAATGTTCTCACTACAAAACAGCCAAAAAGGCTCATAAAATATCAATTCCCAATATCCTTTCAAATTACAGCTGGATTTGCAAGAAAACTTGGGACATTCTCAGACACAAAAGTGAAGTGGGCGCCTATATCCAGGAAAATGAGGAAGGAATCAGACTGGCAGGCATCCTGAAGTCATCTAACCACCTCTAGTAGTGCAGAGTTCTGTGGGCAGGAGTGAGATGGAGGACAAAGTCAAAGGCCCCAGCAAGGTGGGAATTGGCTAGGCTACCACCACATCAAGTCAACATCGAAAAGCTCTACTTTCAGGAAAAAAAATGATTTTTTTAAAAATTTATATCCACCTCACCAAAGGGTGATGACCAATAAGCTTGTCTATATCTTTGGCTTAGCTCTCAATGGAGGCGGAATGCTCTCCTGAGAATTTAGTTATAACTACAAGCAAGCCCTCATATGAGAGTTTAGGTTTTGAACCCAAATTCCCACTACCTTTGTGGTCAGAAAAAAGTCAAGCCAAGAATGTAATCTAAAGTGATCCTAGATTGGTAATGTCCCAGGCACATGGCAGGAACAAACTGAAATCCTCTCTAGTGGAATGCGTCTTGTGACGGTTAATTGTATGTGTCAACTCAACTGGGCTAAGAGATGCCCCGATACCTGGTAAAACATTAATTCTGGGTGTGTTTGTGAGGGTGCTTCAGGAAGACCTTAACATTTGAGTCAATAGACTAGTAAAAAAGATCTGCCCTCATCAGCATGGATGGGCGTCATCCAATCCTTTGAGGGCCTGAAAAAACAAGAAGCCAGAGGAAGTTAAATTTGCTCTCTGCCTGCCCTGGGACATCCATCTCCTCCTGCCCTCCAACATCAGCTCTCCTGGTTCTTAGACCTTTGGACTCAGACTAAATTACACCACTGGCTCTCCTGGTTCTCCAGCTTGCAGATGGCATGTTGTGGGACTTCTTGGCCTCCACAATCATGTGAGCCAATTCCTCTAATAAATAAATACACACACACACACACACATTTATATATATATATATATATATATATATATATATATATATATATACATCCTATTGGTTCTGTTTCCCCTGGAGATACACTCTTCAATTCCGGAAAGATTCCCACACAGTCACAATTAAAATGAGCTTTAATTTAATTAAAAACAATTAAAATAAGAAATTATTTAAAAAGCTAACAAGAACAACAAACGGTAGAAGCAGACCATAGATACTGGTGTTATTAGATGCAGATGACAAAATAAGTATGTTTGCTATGTAAAAAAAAATGAAAGGGAGAATCTAAAAATGGATAAGAAGCGAGGATTGTTTAAAATTACCTAGCAGAATTAGGGGGAAAACACTAAAAAGAACTTCTAGAAACAAAAAAATGTAAATTCTCAATAGCTGAAGAGGGAATCAGTGACATGGTACATAGACCTGAAGAAATTATCCAAAATTCCTGTAAAGGGGCAAAGTCATTTTTTAAAAATATGAAAAAGAAGCTAAGTGATGTGGAGAATAGAGTAAGAAGATTTAAAATGTGTCTAATTAGACCTCCAAAATGTGATGATAGAGAGAACAAGGTAGAAGCAACATTTGAAGCAATGATTGAGAATTTTCCAAAACTGGTAAAAATCACAAATCCTTAGATTATTGAAACACAAGAAATTCCAAGCAGAAACAAGAGGAATCCATAAACATAATATAGTGAAATTGTAGAACTCCTAAAATAAAGAAAAGATCTAAAAAGTATCCTGAAACAAAAAACTTAGCCCCAAATAGAAGGCAGAATGTGGTGAAATAAAATATTTAAAGTGCTGAGGAAAAGTGACTGTCAACCTAGAATTTTATGTCCTGTAAAAGTATCCTTCAAGTAAGAGGGAAAAAACGTTTCCAGACAAATCAAGACAGTATTGAGCACAACAAAGAAACTTGAAAAGGCTGTAGTTCAGCAAGAATAAAAATAATCCCAGAATGAAAGTCTGACATATGACAGGAAATGATGAGTCAAGGAAATGGTAAAAATATGGGTAAATATAAACAAATATTGACAGCATGAAATAATACTACCAATAATGTTTAATTTGTAAAGGTAAAGAAGCAACAACATCAACAAAAAGTAGAACTAAAATATTGGAAAATAATAGAGTGAAAGCCTAGTATTTTCCCTAGTAGGCAGAACAGAATTAAAGTGTTATAATGATTGTATTCCTCTGGAGGAGAATAAACATACCGAGTAACTATAGACTTCATTGAGTATGCTTGTTAAAAGGATAATTAAAGAATTAAAATAGAGTATAAATTGATAGTGTCCAAACCCAAAGCAGAAAAATGGGATAAAGGAGAAAAACACAATGAAATCAAACAAAATAAGGAAAAGAAGGATGAAGGGAGGAAGAGGAGTAAAATTGAACCCAGAAAAAACCAGACAAATAGCTGAAAATATCAATGTAGAAATATAGACAAATATATCAGTAATCATAGTACATGTAAATGCTCCAAATTGTCCAGTTAATATGAATAGATTTTTTTTAAAACATAGATTATTAGATTGTCTAATTTTTTAAGACAGCCATATGCTATATGTAGGATAGACATATGTAAAAGAAAACTGGTTTGGCTATATTACTGATGGACAAAATAGACTTTAGAATAAAAGGCTTTATTGAGAATAAGGAGAGTCACTTTATAATGATAAAATAAACAGATCACTTGGAAAATATAACAGTAGTGAACTTGCATATACCTAAAAATATAGTCTCCAAAATGTATAAAGGAAACATTTATAGAACTACAGGTAGATGTCTACAAATCTACCATCATCTCTCTTAGTCATGATAGGTCAAGCAAACAAACAAACAAAAAAATCAGTAAAAATGTAGACGATCTGAACAACACAATGAGAAAACTTTATTAATGGGCATATATAGATGTCTCCACCAAATAACTGGCCAGATGCTTTTCCAGGTTAATTCTTAGAAACAGTTAAGCAACATATTATTCTAGTTTTTAAAAAATTCTCCAATTCATCAATGCCTAAACCAACAAAGATAGTTCAAGGAAAAATTACAAGCCAATCTAATTCATGA